ATGTGCGCAAACTCTGCATCTGATTGGCTGTTGGCTCTAACAGCCTGTGTGAAAGCAATAGTGATCATAATAATGTGTGAGTTTATTGATCACAGTAAAGAAATCCTCTTTCCTCTCGTGGCAGGGAGGTGAAAAGTCAGGCTAAGCTACTGTACAGCAGCCTGGGAGCGGTAGGGAGTCAGTGACCTGCACAAGGTCACTTCAGCAGTGTTTGGAGGTTGCTGCATGGCTTTACACCACCCTGCCGCCTGTAAAGAGCCATTTTTATAATCACAATATCTTGATTTACCATAGGTAAAAAAACTCCTCACACTTTATGTGAAGATGCTTGCTACCACTACCGTATGTAAACAATGAATTTCTAGTGCAGTATGACTATGACTGTAAAGAACAATAAAGTTTTAAATACTTTCATACTGTTGAAAAGCAGCTGCCATTTTATTGTGTAATGGTGTTGGTAATGGTAACTAATGCTTTGTTGATGCTTATGATATGTTGTTCCTCAAATGTAAGTTGCTTTGGATAAAAGTATCTGCCAAATGAGTAAATCAAATGTAAATGGTGTATTTTTCCTGATACCCTCAGATAACAGACCTTTTTAGCATACCATAGCAAGAAATGCACAGGTGTTAAATAAGTACTTTTATCTGTTTTCATTTGTATTTAGCTTATTATTAACATTATACTGTAGTTTATTAATGTAATGGTTTTGAATTGGTCCCTTCAGTGTTTTGAAGGTATAGAGGGGGTCATCCACTAATCGTAGCGTTGGGAGTCAAGTCCTGCATTGTCAGTGGTTACATCATCACCAACTGCCGATCACTGAAATAGACCGCTTGTATTGTCTGATACTGCTAATCGATCTGGTACTTTAATGGTATTCTCATCGATTCTCTTAATTGTTTTTTTAAAGAAAAAACAAAGACAAATTAAGAACGGAATTAACATTGCTTTATTTTCTGAAATGTAAAATGAATAAAATAAACAATTATTTAGAAATGGCAGTGTTTTGAACAAATCACTGTTATAGACTCTAATGTGTGATGATGGAAATGTAAAACAAACAGAATAAACAATAATTTACTGCAACAGAAAATAACGAGGTATAGAGCAACACAATCTTTAAATTGGTGATTGAACCACCCTTAGCCAGACAATCAGCTGGCAAATGGTTACTTTTAGTCATAAACCCATGTTTGCATAATTTAGTTAACTCAGTGTATAGACTCTAGGTTGCTGGCATACATACCTGACGAAATAGATGGGGCAACGAGAGATGAACTACAAGCTAGGTAGTGGAAAACGGTTCATTTCTCTGCCTGTATATTATGCACTTTTGGTAAATGTTTGGACAAATTACTCGTGTTTCTGCGAGAAGCGTCTGAGTGTGTGCACGCGCGTGTGCATGTGAGAGAGCACACAGAGAAATATATCTTCTTGATCGGGAATAGCAAAAATGCATCAGGATGATTGTCTTAACAAATTAGACACGGTTAGTGAGATTACGTTTATGTAGCAATAATAAATTTATTTTCTTAATTTCTGCAATACCAAAAGCAGAACCAATAACGTCGGAGCTTATCGATACTACAGCCTTTCATAATTTAGCACCTGAGGCTGGTTTAATACTAATACAGGGTTTCGGTACCCATCCCTACATAAGACACCCTATGCATTTTTGTGTGTGGATAAAAACTGTTTTAGATGGAAAAAGTCTCGCTCTTGATTTTACTATACTCCTGTCACTGTTCTCTCAAACTACATGTACTGACTGATGTACGTTTACTCCCATTCTGACACGCATTCTTGGAAATGTCCATTTCAGCAAAGTCATTTAAATAAACGTAGAAAGTCATTTTAATGTAAAGTATGTAAAACAAAAAGGAAATTACACGGATTGTTTGCAAAACAAATTGATATGATCTGAATAAGAGCATCGTTTAATCTAAATAAAGCAAAATAATAGTGTGTTAAAGTATTATAGGATATGTGTGGGTGGTTGTATACTACATATATTGCAACATTTCTTTAACTCTAAGCCCTAGGCAGTGTGTATGGGCAAGAATCCACACTGATACAGTCTCTTTCTGCTTTATGTTATTTTATATGGCTTTCATGTTTGTCATGATAATCGCTCTGGCTCTGCAACACACACACACACACACACACACACACACACACACACACACACACACACACACACACACAGAGAGAGAGTGTCCTCCCAGCTAGTCTGGTCACGTTGAATACACACGCTGCTTCGTGATTTACAGACGATTGTAACATATTAAGGGTTCAGCCATTTGTATTTGGCACGGGTATCAGCGTGTGTTTGTGAGCGTGTGTGTGTTTGTATGTCTTATGGAAATGAGACAAAAGGGGTCACATTATTCAGCAGTAGTTGACATGCAGGCTCCCCAGGTCCATATCAATATCCCCCACAGACGCAGCAGGAAAAAATAAGGCGATTTGTTTCCTAGAATACTAATCGCAGTCAGGAGGGATGAAGAGAAACCTGTGTGTTAAGTAAACACACTGTGAACCATTCAAGGTGGTGTTCTTCATCTTGGGGCGCAGGGTCTTCCACAAGAGCATGTTGTTGCTGTATTTGATTTTTCAGGCCGCTGTGTGCTTTTAAAAGGTACTCTTTCCCCCAGGTCCCCTTTCCTAATATTTCACAATATTACTGATTGTAGTCTGCAAGGAACTGCTGACTGATTGCTTGAGTATAATCTGTAATGAGATGTCCACAGCTGTGCCGTAACAACAGGGGACAAATCCTACAATATTGAAGGGTCCGTTCACTCAAATTACAGAAAAGAAAAGAACACAGCAATTTCTCACTTTTTACTCTTCGTAATATCTAGCCAGGCAGATAGATTCACTTATAGTTTGTTAAACTGTAGAAACTTTCTTTTCCTTCCACACCTTGTACTATTTTTCTCTTTTGTGCTGCTGTATTGGTTTAGCTTGTCAGAGAAAGTGCTCAAATAATGGTATCCTTTAAGATTTACCATCAGCATTTTAACATGCTGACACCCCTTTTCTCAACTCAGTTTGATCGTCGTCAGCACCCATCAGCTGTCAGCCATGTTGGCCCCCTGTTGGTCTGCATGGACCTGGCTCCATTTAACAATTATAAGTTTGAATTATCAATTTTGGTAATTAATCAGTGGTTTTAATTTATCATAATCTTTGACTGTCAAAAGAGAATACAACTATCAGGTATAGTGCCTTTTGATTGGATGTCACCTTCACTGGATAGGTTAAAGTTATAGGTTACAAAGTATATGAAATACAGTGCGTCAAAATGTCCACTTTCCTATACTTTTTCCAAATGAAGCAACACATGATTAATTTTGTTGATACTTTGTGTTTGATTGAGTGATGAGTGGAAGCAGCAGGGCAGCGTTCATCAGCATCACTCCCTGCCTGTGTCAGCCATAAAAAATAAACTCCCCCCAAAAAGCAAATCATCATCATCATCACCTCTCCATGCATTAAAAGAAAGTTGTTGTTGTTCGAAACGAATAAATCGTTTTTGAGGGGGGCTCATTGCCGTGTCTTTGCACGCGCTTGTTGGCGTGTGTGCTCGCACATCGCATTTTGCTCCGAGACTTCTTTGATTGATGCTGTCAGCGAGTTTGGAGAAAGAGACGGAGGCTCAGGGGGGCGGGAGGAAGGAGATAAGGAGAGAAAGAGGAAAGCAGATAAAGAAGAGAGAAAGAGCTCAAGAAGCATCCATCAAGCGGTGCAATCAGATTGTTTTCCTGGCGTTCAGTCTTTTCTTTTTCTCTGCATCTACCAGCCCCTCAATTCTTCATCTTTTCTTTCACTCACTCTCTCTAATGCTCTCTCTTTCATACACACACACACACACACACACACACACACACACACACACACACACACACACACACACACAAAAATACAAATGCAGTCGACGAATCTCCTTCGCATGGCACGAGCCAGGTGTCATGAGGATATTGAATCACGGGAGGTTGAGGTGAGATGGATGATACATATTTCACCGCCTCCTCCGTGCTTATTGTTTACACACACACAAACACTCTCTCACACTCACAGCCTCCGTGCTCCTTTAGTTGTTAATTGATGTCCTCCACTCGTCTGTTGTTTTATTTCCATCCGTCGTTCCATTGCGGTTATTGCTTTTCATTAAGTGGTCATTTCCTTCGCCTGCACCGTCTAATGAGAGCGTCACGCCGCCACGCGCCCATTTATCAAACTGCGTAGCCGTGGTGGCACGGCCCCGCAGTCAACACACGCACACACACATTCCCCTTCACTCTATCTGCCATCATGTCCCTGTCTCAATTAGGATTGTTTGTTGTCCCTCTGCCCTCCATCCCCTGTTCATTTGGCCGCCCCCGTCTCTTCCCGCCGTCTCATTGTGGCAGCCGTGTCATTGTGTTTGACAGCTTCTCATTCTCGTGTCAGATCTCATTTGACTGCTAATTTCATAGATACGTACCTCGCCTCGCCTCGCCGTATGTGTTAACTCCTCCGAACCGGGCCTGTGCAGAATCAGATTTCTTTTCCTTTTGTTCAAAAAGAAGGAAGTTATTGTGTTGCTGAAGTGGCATCTGCTGGCTTGTTATGAACTGTAAGAGGTTTGAGAGCAAATGAGCTGTGAATCCAACTCTGTTTGTTTGCGCGCGCGCGCACACACACACACACACACACACACACACACACACACACACACACACACACATACATCTGCACACTTGGCAGAACGAAGCAGGTTGCATCCCCACTGTTGGCAAGATAAATCACATAACAGCCTCACTGTGATCATGGCACAGTGGAGGCACTATATAACCTGGCTGTGTGTTTCCAAATTGTTCCCATGCCAGAAATCTCAATGTTTGGACTGTCATGCTTATCTTGAGGAAAAGCTTGTTCATATCAAATCATGTGCACATTATGTTTAATATTTTCGAATATATTTAGGACACAGTTGTGTGTATCTCTTCCAGCTCGTGGCAGTGTTCGACGAAGTCCAGCGCGGGAGGACCGACAGTCCCAGAGAGAGCATGTCCAACGGCTACTCCAATGCCGCCCCCAGCCCTGAACCCCTCCAATACTATCCCCACCTGCAGTTCCAGGAGCCAGCCAGAGGAGAGATTGAAGTCAACGAGGCCATCCTCAAAGCCAGTATGTCAGATCTGCTGTAATGTTTTCTTGTGCAATTGTTTTTTGGTTTAAATTTATAAACAAAAGTTTCAGCTTCAACTCATGAAAATACATCACTCACTAAATTATAGTAGATTTTTAAATGATAAGAATTCTATATCCTGTTGAGATGTTGCTGTTTTGAATGTAAGAGAAGTTTCTGCAAAAACATCTCGACAAAAACACCTGACGAGCTAAAGCAGTGCTCAATCAACACGTTCGCGATTTTTGTGCACATGAGAAAGTGTGTCTCGGTGAGACAGCCGGAGGTGTGTGTACATGGGTGTGTGTGAAAGAGTCAGAAAGTACATTTATGGAACAGCTGTAAGCTTGAACCCAACTGTGTAGAGGGAGATCTGTGCCTGTAACATGATGGCGTGTGAAAACAGATGCAGTGTTGATGCAGCGTTCTCTCCTGCCGTCCTCACTTAGCGTTCTTTACTTAGTTTGTTCTTGTTTTCACACGTTGCTCAGACTGAGAGCCTCGAAGGCAGCGCTTCAGGGATTTTTTTCATATATATTTAAGTGTGTTAAAACTAAAATGTAAGTCTAACTTCTGCTCCCTTCAGTGTACTTCTATATGTCTGTACTTCTGAGAGACCATTAAGTATGTACCACTACTCACCTCTGTCCTGCCGCTGCATCATATTGGGCCATGAAGTCACATTTTTGTAATCTATTAAGGTGAACAAGATATTAATAAGAGCCACGTTGCTCCTTCATTTTGTCTTTGTCATGTCTTTATCCTTGTTTTACTGACAAAAGCTTCCCTCTGTGCACCATTAAGGTGATGGATATACTCCGGTTCTGCTTCTGAAATAGTAAATATCTTGATAAATGAACGCTTAACTCAGTATGTCATTGTCATTTTATAGCCTGACCAAGCCCATCCAGGGATGATATGTACATGTGTGATTCTCACACCCGAGCTTACACTTATTCCAAGCCTCCTGTTGTACACTTTACGTCACTGCCGCTCTGATATAGAGACAGCTAAGCTGCGGCAGGGCAGTGAGAACTCAGATAAGAGAGCAACTCTTACAGGGAAATTCTGTGTTTGCTTGTAAAGTCCAAGGTTAGAGTCAGAGTCAAAAAAAATAAATCGTTAACTGTTCAGTGTGTTCAAGGTCACTACCACAAGGCGGGCACTACAAGGTAAGAGTGAGAATGACAGTTTGACAAATAGTGTATATGTGCGTATGATATAAAAATACAGCTTTTAAATTAGCTTAAATTAGGAAAGAAGGCCATTTTTACTTTTAGTGAACAAGTAACCGGGTCATGGTGCATCTCCAGTGGGAGACATCATCACTTGCCTAGTCAGTCAGATGCCTAAGGGAGCCTCTGGGGAAATATCTGCTCTGTCTGGGCTACAGTCTGTTCTGGCTATATATACATTTCACTGTAAATAATCTAGAGCATGAATTTAGACGTGTCATTCTTTTTCAGTGCCTTGTATTAATTACTTTTTAAATGACGAGAGACAAAGTGGAAGATAAAGGACAAGAAAAAGGATTTTATGAGCTTGAGTGTGCTTTAGGAAGGGTCTATCTAATCACTGGGCCACCCTGTCTGTCACCCCCTTTCATTTTCCTCTCTCCATCTGTTGACTTTAGAAAAACAGTGTGACTCTCCTCCTCCTCTCACATACACACACATTACACACACAGCTGCCCTTTGCCATCCCTCTCCCTCTGCCCACTTTGCCCTATGCCCTATTATCTGCCCCCCTCTCCACTCCACTAAGTCATTTCTTGCCTACTCTACTATTCAGCTTCAGCCACCTGCCATCCACCTCACCACCCGGCCCTCTAGGCCCTGACCCATCACCCTCCACCCCAACCCGATACCTTCTCCATCCCAACCCTCCCGTTCTGCCCTGCTCTCCCTGTCTCTGCATGGCTTAAAGCTCTAACTAGATTATCACTGTAGCCTGTTAGCATACCCGGGGTCCAGCCGAGAGTGAATGGACTAATTCCAGCAGCCCCCCACCCCCACCCAGTGGGACCTCTTCTTGCCTCCACCCTCCAACCTGCTCTTCAGCCCTGTTGAACCCTGACTAACTTAGTTATGATTTGACCCTGTGACGTCCCTCCTACAGAGCCAGACTGATGTAATAAAGCAGCTTTTGTCATCCGGACATGCATGCAAGCACACACAGGAACACGCACACACAAACAATTTGACAAAAGAACTAGCACACATGCAAGTTAAACAACCCAACACACCCAAAACCGGTCACCCATCCTCTGCTGGGAAAGCTCTTAGGGGAGTGTGTGTCTGTGTGCGTTTGCGCTCCCTTTTTGCTCTAACAAGATTGGTTGTTAACTGGGTGTTACATCACCTGTTGTATGCGAGCCGGTTGTAATAACATAATTTCCAAAGGGATGGAGACAGTCAGACAGGGTAGATTTCAAGATTTTATTAGTGTAGTACTTGTGTTTGAAGACGTGTGTGTGTGTGTGTGTGTGTGTGTGTGTGTGTATGTATGTATGTATGTATGTGTGTGTGTGTGTGTGTGTGTGTGTGTGTGTGTGTGTGTATGTGTGTGTATGTGTGTGTGTGTGTGTGTGTGTGTGTGTATATATATATGTATATATATGTGTATATATATATATATGTATATATATATGTGTGTGTGTGTGTATATATGTTGGGACAATTTTACTTTTTCAAATTGTGTGAGAAGGAGCACAAACAGCCAACCGGTTAAACAGTACAGGCTGACGGAACATTGTACTGCAGCTGTCACGTATGTTAACACTTTAACTGGGTCATTGTAGTCAACGTCAGTAAACATAACCGGCGAGCTGTATCACTGTGTCATTTTCAGAACTTTATTCCAGGCTAGCAGCTGTGGGAGGAAAAAGATGAGTCAGGTAGGCTACAACTTGTCCTTCTGGACATTAACCCTTTCATTAAAAAATCATGTGAACTGGGGTTACTGGGAAAATTGGGTCACTGTGACCCACATGAATGCTTTAATCACACTAACTAACCAATTAACTTAATGTGATTATTCACAACAACCTGGTTATAGTGTGCATGTAATCGCGCTGAATGGTGGTGGACAGGAGAAGAAGTAATTCAGTAATCAGTCAGGCATCAAAGTGTTTGTGTGTCAGGTTGGGCTGCTTGTTTGAACAAGGTGATTGGACTTCACACTGCCCCAGTGGGATGATTAGACCTGCATTGATCTGCTAACACACACACACACACACACACACACACACACACACTCACACTCTCTCTTCTAGGAAGAGAGTCCTTATCGCATCATCCCATGAGCAGCCTGAGCTGGGTTGCTCTATCGATTGAGAGAGCAACAAGACCACCCTGGCCTGTGGCATGAAAACACACACACACACATGCGCACACACACACGTGCACACACAAACAACACACATGCATACAAATACACACAGAAGCACAATCACTGTTCATAATAAATGTGTATATATAGTCTACACACTTGCATGCAAACAAAGGCACACGCACACGCACGCGCGCGCGCACACACACTCAGACAGAAACATGATGCATCCTTGTTTCCTGCCCTGGCAGTGAACTAACACTGCAGCGTTACAGAACTTTCACAGAACTGAAAACAAGGAGGAAATTCTTAAAATAAACCTCTGTGTTCCCAGAATTGCATAAGCAGCCTAGTTAGACAGAGAGCCGCAGATGGAGAGTTGCAGTCAGATAAACACAGAACTGACGAAGTTCACAAGGGCTCTCTCCAATTACACAAATCTCAGCGGAAAGATAAGGGAGGAACATAACTTGGGTGTGTTTCAATGGGTTACCATTTGTTTTTCTGGCCTTGAAGTGGGCACCGAGATTAGTTTGGTGGCCGGGGTCTATTTAAAGCTGCAGGGTACCTTGTGGTTGTGGCTGTACAGTTCCATCAAATTAGCGAACCTAAAATACATCCAAAGTTTAGTGCTTCCCCCTCCTCGGCGCCCATTTGGCAGTAGACTGCATGGTAAAGTTCGTAAAATAAATGAAAATTCTGCTCACATAGGGCTACAGACACTGCTGCTCTAGGACTGACTTTTAGACCAAATCTAAAACAATTTGGTCGAAAAGCGCTTTGAGATTAAATAATTCATCATTCAAAGTAAGCAATTTCTTCACTGTATGTGTAATATTTTATATATTTCATTTTTAATTTTAATTCGGTTTTTTTTTTTATTTTTTTTTTTACATGCCATCTGTCATAGAATTTTTTTCTAATGACTCAGAAAGGCCGGGGCAACCAGGGCCCGCTCATAATGTGTAACACAAATTGCACAAATAAAAGTTACCAAACCCAATGTTAAATCTCATTAATCTCATCCTTTCAGTAAACATAACGAGATTCATGAACACTAGCAATTGTAAGTGCTGTGGTCATGGAGATACTGCAGTGCATAAGAAGGCCCCAGTGTTTTGATTAAACTTTGGGCGGCACGATGGCCCAGTGGATAGCACTGTGGTCTCACAGCAAGAAGGTCACGGGTTCAAACTCCGGTCCTCCTGGCCTTTCTGTGTGGAGTTTGCATGTTTTCCCCGTGTCTGCGTGGGTTTCTTCAGGTACTCACCACCAAAAACATGTTAGGGTCTCCAGTCAGTGCCATTGACCAGATGCTGAAAAAGAGAGCTGGTCCGCAGGCGCTGCAAAGTGACTGTTCCCACTGCTCCCACTGCTTGAGGTTAGACTGGCAGTCTTTTTAATTACATCACCACCTTGTGCCCTTTTCTTCTAATGGCACCAGACTGAAGAATTAGTGTCAACAGCTGTTAATCAATGCAGCCAACTCCTAATATTTGCATAACAGTAGTGGATTGAAATGTACAGTAATTCGCATTTTCTTGATTAAGCGTCTCGCTACATTTGGATGGAAACTTGACGGTAGAAGGTGTTGTAATACAATGCGTTAAGAAATGTGTAGGCTAATGATAAACTTACTAATTAAAATAAAAAGAAACAAGATTTATTGCACATTGATCTTTGTACAAGTGCAACTACCATAGTCGCAGTAAATAATTAAGAAACAGATGGGCTTTGTCAGGTATGTGAACAACACATGGGTACATTCTATGAAAGTAGGAACCCATGTAAACCCCATTTCCACCAGCCCTGTCACCTTTGATTAGTAAAAGCTCTGAGGCAATATTGTTTATGTCCTTCCAAACTGTGGCTGACCTAAGAGAGTTACAACTGTCACTCTCATCAATATCTCTGACCCTCTGACACTACTTAACCCTCTATAGGTCAGTGCGGGTCAGAGGTCAAAGCTAGTGACCCCCAGGTTCCTTCACATGGCCGGGCTCCGGGCCCTAAGTGGTGGGAGGATTGATGGAGGCAGATTTCACTCCAATGGATAAATGGGGAGGGATTTATGGTACTGAACGCTGGGTAAAGGACCCTGACTGTGACCATGGAGCGGCCTTGGTCAAGTGTCTATATGTGTGTATGGGGTGTCTTGACGTGGCTATTTGTGGAGCTCATTTTGAAAATCCATTATAGCCACTTTGGAAATAAGTTGTTTCTTTTAAGTATCTCTAAAATCTATGGGATCAGGTCCTAACAGGTGCTGTTATTTCATCCAGCTGGCCTTGCAGTAGTGAAATTATTGTGGTACTTAATGTACCTATTGTCCTTGCAGTTTGATTTAATGTTGTGCAGACCAATGCTGTGTAAGAGTAGGTTTCAACTTTTCCCTATATGGTGGGAATATTTTTAGTATTACCTTAGCAGACCTGGCTCAAACAAATGTGCGAGTATGCATGTGTTAGCATTTACCTATTTAAAACCTTATACCTGCTTGCTGTTCAGTGTACGTGTGTGTGTGTGTGTGTGTGTGTGTGTGTGTGTCTTTGAAAAAAAAATCAGCATTCACTTCCCATGACTGTACTAAACAGGTGGTTGCAGGAGGGAGAGCAAGAACCACCCATTGAGTTTTACTGCTTTCTATTCATGGCCCCTCTGAACTTGTAACCCTTTGAATGTGTCTGTCTGGTAAAATGTAAAGAAGTAGAAATTGCGCTTTCCGAGGTTGCATTGTTTGAACGAAAGTGTTGGCGTTCAAACACCCTGCGTCTAAAATTCACTTTGTGTTCAGTCTGAACACGCCTTAACAAAAGACTCATTTAATGACACTGAAAAGTATCTGCAGTGTTTGACCTATTTCAGATGCATACAAGATTAATAGACAATCTGATGGGGCGATCTGAAGCCATTGATATGTCTACAGCGTCTGATGTATTTTTCTGATGCCTTTTGATGCCAGCTCTGAGAAGATACCTTTTTTTTTTCTCCCCCCCAGATGTTTCTGTGTTAAATCAAAGCACATTTCATTATTGCAAATAATATTGTTTTCTGTGTAGTTCCCACATAAAGTCTGCTTTTCAAAATCAGATTAGACCTCATTCTGTTGATTTCCTCAGTTAAGCGAAAAATCCGAAACTGGAAGCTAGAGGAAAAACCAGAAGAAGACTTGAGTCCTAATTAAAAGACGCCAACATCTTGAAGCTTTTGTGCTTTTTGACACCTTTTGAATTCCCTCACATCAGTGATAGTGAGTCAGCGTTGCGTCTTTAGACTTTCAGTGTTAGCAGAAATAGAAAGAAAGTGTGAAAAACAGCCAGATGGAAGGGGCGCTAAAACCACTCCAGCAAAGAATAACTGATCATTTATGATAATTAATAAAAATGATTAGACAAACCTGAACACCACATCAGATGACCCAACATGTAGATTGGATTGTTTGAGCCCTAAAGGATATTTGTATGTGTCTGGAATGGTTGGAATCACCATTTTTCATCTGTCTGCAATCACAAACCACACACACATACACATGCGCACACACACACAGAGACCCCTGCCAGTTCCTTCTTTCCTACTTGTTCTCCTCTCCTGCTCTCTCTATTCTGACCACGTTAGAGTAGGACCCCGTCACTGACCCTCCAAAGAGAGATTGATTACAGGAAAGAATAGAATTTTGTTTGCCTTCTCTTCCTGTGTCTCTCAGTTTTCTAGGTTTTCTCCCTTCTTCCCTGTCACTGTCTCTAAGCTCTCTCCTTCCCTTTTTGTTTATCTCACACACTAACCCCCACCCCTTCCCCTTTCTCTCCCCTTTATTTTCTTCTCTGTCAAGTTAAATGTGAAAACACCCTGCTACAGGTTTTACATCCACAAATACCAGTCTGCTGCCTTTGGGGTGGATATTAAAAGCAAGAGGCAGCGCAAAGGTCCAAATTAGATTCTTTTGAATTGTTGTATTATGGATTCAGACCTGCCCATGTAACCTCTCCCTCTCCAAGCTCCTTTGGGCTGTGGTAAGTGTGTGTGTGCCTGTAAATGTGTGCGTGTTTTGGGGCATGGAGGCAACAGCTGGTCGTATGAAAATGTACACTGTGGGTGTGGTTGCGTGAATTGTGAGTCATCTAAAAATGTATTACAGCCCTTAAACAAAGCGCTTACCCATATACTTTTTCATCATATAGGGACAGATTTGTTTGTATAAGTTGTTATTATACTTTGTGTCCCTCATCATTTCCTGCATCCGTTGTTTTCAGAATTTCCATTAGCTTTGCTCAATCAGTTTCCTTTGTTTCATTTTTAGGTGCTAACAGACACCCTAAATGTTCATTTTTTAAGTTGTTTTGGTGTCAAATGTTTTTGGAGAGCTCACAGAGCCTCAGGGGTCTGTCTTACCCACTGAGCCTCGCTGATGCTCATTTCAAGATGCAGGCCAGCTGCTTAGTGTTAAAGTTGGCAAAAGACAGAAGAAAATGGTTTCCTCCTCCTCTCACTTCCCTTACTACCTCTCTACCTCCTCCGATGATCCTCAGTGCGTTTGGAATTTGTGAAATCAAACGTGATCAAACAGTCAAATAAAATACATTACTGCATCATGGCAGCAAATGATGCAGGTGAACAACGGACTGACCTCCAACATGTCCATCTTTTTCCACCCAGACACACCTCTGTTCGTGAGGAGCAACAGTGACTCTGGTTTGGCCCCGCCTCCTGAGACAAAGGCAACACCCCCACCTGTTGCCAATAGCAATGGATCTCCTGAACCGGTAAGCATAGTCACATTGGCACTGAAACCAAGGTGTGGTGTGATTAGTTGCTAGCCAGCTAAAAATGCTAATGTAAATCAACCATTTTTATGTAAACTAGTAGATACATTATATTCCTGTTATTTGAAGAATACATTAATTTAATTATTTAATTGTTTTTTAAGGGGGGAAAAGAGAGAGAAACACTGTTTGTTCTATTAAAATATTCAATTTCCAGCAGCTGTTCAAAAGGAGCAAAATACTTTAACCAAGGCAAGAGACAAAAAGGAAATAAATGAAATATGTAAAAAGGAAGAAAAAAAAATAACGGAGAGACAAAAATATTACATTTTCCATTACGTCTCTGGTGTGTGCCATGCCCTTGATGAAGACAGAGAAACCCGGTGACTATTCCTCTTGTGGTCCAGCTCCACGCCCCAGGCTGTCCTTTGAAAGGGGTCGACTTTTCAAGTGCTTTCCTTCTATTCCAAACAGGCTGCCATTAAGGAGGACTTTGTTTGCTGCCTTTTCTTTTCCCTCAGTGGGAGAGTGGGCAGGACGGAGGCTGTGTGAGGTCACACTGGTGCGTGCGTGCATGCGTTAGGGGAACTCACGTAGACGGAGAGAGCGGGAGGCCTGTTGTTTTCCCCTGCCGTGTTCGACTAAGCAGTGACTAAGCAGAACCCAGGCATCAGCAGGCGGCGAGTAAACACACTGACAAATCCCATATTCCCTATCCAAAAAAACGTCAGGCCTCATATGCTTCAAACCGCACGGCCGAACCTGAGCGAACAGGCTCATTAAAGATGATTTAAAATATCTGTTTACAAAAATCTACATCTTCTGCTGCCTGACAGATGAAGCCGCGCTTCAGACCTCAGCAGTCTTATTTAAACCCAGACAGCTGCTCTTTAGCTCACTGGTAGATGTTGGTATGGCATTGTTTTTGAATATTTACAATGTTTTAAAGGCATTTCTGGTTTATAATATGGTGAATAGAGAAGAGACAATGCACATGTGGGGAGTTTTATAAAACTCCTGAGACCTATTACCACAACATTTAACATATAGAGGTTACAATATTTTTTATAATGTTAATTATTTCAAATCTAGTCTGTCAATCAGCCCCCGCCCCTTCGGTCAAGACTGAAATATCTATTATTAATTAACTAAATTGTGCACATTCATTCATGGTTCTAAAAGGATATGTCCTGCTGACTTCGGTGATCCCCTGACTTTACCTCTAGCGCCACTATGAGGGTGACCTACCAGAACGTCAGCATGTCAGTTGTGAGCATGTTAGCAGGCTGATGATAGCATTTTACTCAAAGCACTGCTGTACATAATACAATCTCACAGAGCCACTACAATGTCTGTAGACTCTTAGTCTTGTTCATTTATTAATAAAGACAGTAGTTGGTGGTATGTGTAATTGGACTAGGTGTCTTCATTGATTTTGTTTTTGTGACAGGATGCATCTGTGTAGGTGCTTTTCCAGCTTTCTGGATTGACGTTGTGTCAAGTAGCATTAAAAAGCTATTGAGTTAGTTTGGCATTTAGGAAAGTGCAAATACAGACAGATATGATATTTTCATTTAGAGTATGTCAATACAGTGATGTAACCTGATTATGGCAAAAGCTGAGATTAAGAGGAAAGTTTGATTTACACTAACAATAACTCAAGTTTCCAAGAGATGCTTTTATGGGTTTTATCATTTATGAACTTGAAGAATACCTTAATTTCAAATCACTCTTAATCTGCATATGTAATCAGAATAATTAGTGTGTATGTAAATGCGATGGATGACATTGATGCTCACATGCAACGCTAATGAATCAGATTTTAGTAATTAAATCCTTTAGTTGAAAGATTACATGCTCCCATACCTGCTGAGAAAGCTGAACCTTCCGATCCACATCAACTGGATAATATCAAGAAGCTGTCGTCCAACTGGTCTAAAAAGTTGACACTGTGGAGGTACAAGGCATGGCACAGACAGAATAAGAATATTAGTTGCTGTGTGTGTGTGTATCTGAATGACCTGGAGGCCGTCACAGCTCTTGGACATATTGAGTCCTGGGCCTGATGGACTTCCATAGATCAATACACTATCACTTCATCGTCCGTCATCCACTGTACTGCTCCTCTGCAACACCCCCCCCCCCACACACACACACGCACACTCACTTACTCATACACACACGACGCACACTCACTTCAACAATTACAAGTACCACACACACTTCTGCCCCTTTTTGTCTTGAAGGAGGTATTGAAAGCTAGATAAAGTGTAATTAAGGCTGATACAGTGATAAATTTGTGCCCTGCCCCTTTAATTGATTTTTCTGCCTGCTATGGTGAAGGCCAAGGTTGGCCCACTTCTCTCTGTCTTTGATTCACATGTGGTCTATGCACTTACCTCTCTTAGTCTTTCTCTTTATCAGAAGAGCTAATGAAACTGGCTGAGCAGTGCTAAACATGCAGTCGGGCCTTTAATTGATTTGGACTTCCAGCCGTGTACGAAGCTAATGAACGAGACGTTTAATTTTACCGGCTAACAGCAATAACTTTTTTTAGTCCTGCTCCTCTCACCTCAATCACCCTCCTTTTCTTAATCCTCATAATGTTTTCCTCACCCACTCTTTCTCTCCTGCTCCCTCACTCTGCCTCCCACATTTTTGGCTGGCTTTCAACACCTCGAGTTGCAGTGATGCAATACATGTTAACACAGCAGAAAGTCGGACTTTAATGCGTTACACTCTGTCCGGCGGTCCCTCAGCCGTGATGTAAAAAGCTGACACCTTAACTGGCTAAGATAAATTCTGCTGTTTTTCTGTGTCTGTCTTTATAGTGTGTGGTTTTCATGCTAGCAGCTGGATGCTGTGTATCTGTGTGCGTGTCCCTTGAGGGTTGTACTGCATTTGCGTGTGTGGCCACTGCAGTCACTTCATGTGATGGATATAACAAGGGTCAAGGAGCACTGACTAGTACACTGAAGCTGTGGTCCTACAGTATATAACATACGAGCAGTCTTTCTCATTCACACGCTGTTTCTCAACAGCCTGACGTGTAGCAGATGACTACAGCACAAATACACAACAGAAACACACACCTCATTACTCACCTGCCTGACAACCCCCCCCCCCCCACACACACACAAACACACTTGCACACAAACACCTCATCTCTCATACAGTATGTCTGCACACCGCCCTGTCACTCACACACACCTCAGACTACAAACAGCACCCAAAACACAAAAACATGGATGGCAGTGTGCAACACAATAACAGCAGCAGACAACTTATTAGTTAGATGGGTTTCCAGACAAGTTTCACAAATTATTTTGAGCGTTCATCCTGGGACCACAAAGCCTGCCACATTCAAATCATATTATATAAAACAAAACAACTAAAACTGCGATTTAAAATATACATGTGCTCACGTCCGCTACAAAACTGCATTTGAAACGGCCTGAATGTCTCACAATTTTGATTATTTGGAGCTGTATTTGTCTGGCTCTCATAGTTTAAGCAGCTAAAGTGAAAGTGTAAACCCAAAGTAAAAGCACTGTACGGTGTTGAAAATGTCAGCTGATTTGATATGTAACACAGGAGGGAGTCAAAGTGTCAGTAGCAGTAGCCACACTGGTAGAGCTTGGTATTATTATGTTTTTTTTGACACAAGAGCCAATATAATATTGGTATGCAAACCACTTTACTTTGAGGACCTTGTTTTTCTACAACCCCTTTTTTAATAGAGCAAAAGATGTAATTTAGTGAAGAAGAAAACAAATCTGACCAGACTACTGGTAGTGTAACTTAGACGTCATATACTATTAGTGCTAGTAATAGTAGCAGCACAATTAGTAACAGTTGTACAGTAATACTCACACAGGCACTCTAGTCACACAGGTAGCCGTTTTTTTGCTACTCAATTTTTGAAGAAAGAAACTGAACATTTTGAAATGTGTACCATAAAATTTCAGTTAATGGCCTAGTCCCATTTACTGGTCTGGTGTGGGTACACATTTTGAGAAATAAACGCAAGTCTCCATTAGACGCCGGGTCTGATTTTTATAGATGTTCTTTGGATGAATAAAAGCCCACCAGATCACCCGCTTTTGCTAGTTCTAAGCTCTTTAGAGCGCGCACACAAATATAAATGTTTAAACTTTTGTATGTATGGACATATACATCGTTAGATTCTAGCTTGTTTTCGTTACCTTGCTGCCTATAAAAAAAAAAAAAAAATTAAAAAAAAAGTGCTTTAACTGTCTATCGGAGCCAGATCAAATGAATGATTTGTATTGATATGTTATTTAATTTTTATACAAGTAGTAACAATAATAATAATAATAATACATTTTATTTAAGGCGCCTTTCCCGGCACTGAAGGACACCGTACAGGGATGCAAAGATTTAAAAGCAGCAAAACTAAGAACATTAAAACAAGCTAAAAGCAAAGAATTTACATCAAATGAGGTTGGCAGTTTTAAACAGATGTGTTTGGAGTTGCGATTTAAAAATGTGAGAATGAATCGATGTTTCTAAGTTGGGGTGGTAAAGACTTCCAGAGACGGGGGACAGAGCGGCTGAATGCTCTGCTCCGCCTTGTGGTGAGATGAGCGGGGGGGACAGACAGGTGTATGGAGGAAGAGGATCTAAGGGAGCGGGTGGAAGCTGGACCCTGTAAGAGATCAGACAAATACGGAGGGGCAAGGTTGTGGATGGCCTTGAATGTTAACAGAAGGACTTTGAATTGGATACGGGACAGGACCGGGAGCCAATGAAGCTGTTGGAGAACAGGAGTGATGTGGTGGATGGAGGGTGTTCGAGTTACGATGCGAGCAGCTGAATTCTGGACCAGTTGAAGTTTATAGATGGGGATTTAAGCGGTGTGAAAACGCAAGATGAGGCTCAGATCAGAACGGAACATGTGATATAACTATGAAGGCTCAGACAAACAGTAGTGCCGGCAGATTGTAAGAGTATTCCGTATGAAGGGAATTACACTGTCCGATTGAGTTATAGAACCATAAGGTAAGTCTGAAAGTTAAAAGATACGAGGTTTACCGGCGAGCAGCGGCAGCAAGTTGCGCCAGCGTTCACTCGCATCCGGGTTACGAACTGTTTTTCGTCAAAATTTCAACTAGTAATATTCATACTAGTTGAAATAAACTGTTTCACCGTAGCCCATTTCACATCTTTGCTGGGCAAGAGTTTTGTGGGAAATTAATTTAAAGGCCTCTCCCAAATATAGGTCAGGTCAGTTCAGTGATTTTAGTGAATAAAAGCCTGGGCTATTAATTTAAGTTTAATGGTAGTTTGAAGGTAAATGTGTGTGGAAATTAGAGTGGATGGAAAAAATGCACGCTAATAAACATAATCATAAAGCTATAAATATGTAAGTGAAAGAGTGTGTTTTGTGTTAGCACAATAATAACTAATCACACCCATACAGTGCTGCAATCAATCTAAGGTTAAGGACATAAAGGTAGTCATTTCACATAGTTGGAGGGATGTGTTAAGATATGAGCAGAGAGCGGTGCGAGCTGTTTGGCTGAGCACCAGCAGGGTGCCCAAATTGGAAAGCTGCTGTTTTTATGTCTAGATAAACAGGAGCGCTCTCAATCAGGGATTACGCTGGGCATTATGGCATGATCTTTTTATTTCAGAGTATTAAAGAAAGGCAGGGTAGTGTATATATGCGTGTGTGTACATCCCCACATGACATCTCTTATATAATACATGTGTTGTTGTAGTGAAGAAGACATACAAGGGTTTCATGTTATTGTATAGTATTGTAGTTTCACAGTGCAATTCCTATAAAATTGGATGTACAACATGTGCAAATGTGTTTATGATGAGCGCATACATGTGTTCACTTGCTGTCCTGCCAACTGTGTGTTCCCAAACGTGTCAGTACCTTACGCTGTGATGAGGATGTGTGTGCGTACTGTGGGGAGGAGAAGCGTGTGTGTGTGTGCGCGTGCTAATGGCGTTGCGGAAAGATGCACAGCAACAATGGAGCCTCCAGCTCATCTTTCTGCCCCCGCACACACACACATGCTCTATTGTGGGGTAATCTCACACTGCCCAGATAAGTGGGTCACTATTTGTACAGGCGGCATATGTATATATGTGTGTGTTTTTGTGTGTGTGTGTGTATTCAGAAATACACAATTTTTTAACACCAGTTTGCAGCTCTGCAGATTCGATATATGTATTTAATGTTTGAAATGTATGCGTGGGGGTCTTTTAGAGCATATATCTACTCTGTGTGTGACAGAAGGTCCACTGGGGAGTTGGGTGTGGCGGGGGGGTTGCTAAGGAGCGGGCTGGTGGGCGGGAACTTTTTAGCCATTAGTACTGGTGACACAATGAAAGTGACAAGGCAGAAAGACCTAATTGCACCCTTCTTGTCTTTAGTGATTTGGGGCAATTTCTCTCTCCCACTCCTCGAGTGTGTTTTAGTGTCTCGCAACAGTTTGATGCAGCCGTTTTCTTTCTTCATTCCAACGTTTCTCTCTCCCTCTTCCTTTTTTATTCGCTTCCCCCGGGGTTGTTGGTTTTGCAGACTTAAAAATAGAGCCTTGCCTGACACAGGGCAGGGATGGAGGGAGGGGGAGGTAGCCAGATAGAAATAAATGTAGAGTGAAGGAAGGACAGCGGCGCGTTGTAGGGAACTCAGCGTCCGGAGGTCGTTCTCTCTCTGCAAAGGTGATTGATGGTGCCGTTAGATTGTTTTGCTAATTGGTGACTTGCCTCCTGGGTTCGCCGAGTTGCTACTGTTTGTTGAGTGTGTGTCTATGTAGATGTAGAGACTTCATTTTTTACTGCAGCAATTATCATCATGTTGACTGTATTGGTCTGTTTATGTGTGTGTGTTTTCTTTTAAACAGGAAATCAACCATACGCTGAAAGCAGTTTCGGACCGACCGCACACAGACAACCCCCCTGCAAAAATGAGCCAAGTTAACTTCAGGTAAGAGTGTGAGTGTGTTTTTATGGATGTCCTAGAGGCATCAGACAGGTCATGCTGTAGCTGGGCACGGTGCAATGATGGAGACTAGGATTAACGCTTCCAGTCTTTGTTTGACAGCCTGACACTGACTGGATTAAACAGTCTCATGGGTGTGGGCGGCAGTCTGCTTGTCTGTGTAGATGTGTTGCAGTACATGTTGGGTGGGCTCTTATCTGTACAAGCTGGGCCAGAGGTGTTCCCCTACCTCTTTCACTTCTATAGGTAGACACCATGAGAAGTGAAGGCAACAGTGAAGCATGGTGGAGGTTCGGGGCTGCATTTCTGCAGACGTAGTTGGGGCTTTGTTCAGAAATCACACACCATGTCAAGACTGAGCACAGCAACGAGACACAAGGTAGCTATACTGCATCAGCAAGGTTTCTCCAAGCCAACATTTCAAGTAGGACTGGGTTTTCCAGATTTTCTGTTCAAGCTCTTTTGAAGAAGCAAGAAGATGCAATGGTCGTCTACAGAAATTTATTGCATCAGATGAAAGACACATCATGCTTACTTCCCTTTGCAATCAGAAGGCGTCTAGCAGTGACATCAGCTCAGAAGTGGGACCCTGCTACTCTCATCTAATGTCTGGAGAAGTCTGATCAGAAAAAAAGCCATACCTCTGACATGGAAAAACAAGGCCAAGCAACTCCAACTATGCACAGGAACTGGGGTGCAAACAATTGGCAGCAGGTGCTCTGGACTGATGATTCACTCATCAGTTTTAAATATGTGGCTGCAGCAGAGGGCAGCTTGTTCGCCGAAGGGCTGGAGAGCGATTCAAGAAGGACTGTCTGCAGGCAACAGTGAAGCATAGTGGAGGTTCAGGGCTCCATTTCTACAAACTGAGTCGGGGATTTGGTCAGAATAAAATTCTTTACTCAATGACATGTACTTATCATGCAATATCATCATGGAGGCATCTGACTGGTCCAAAATTTTCTCTGCAGCATGACAAAGGCCCGAAATATAAAGTCATTAAAAAGAATTGTGAGCATAAAGAAGAACAAGGAGTCCTGGAAGTGATTGTATGGCCCCCACAGAGTCCTGATCTCAACATCATTGAGTCTGTCTGGGATTACATGAAGAGAGAGAAACGACTGAGGCTGCCTAATCTACAGAAGGATTGTGGGTTGTTCTCCAAGATGTTTGGGCCTACCTACCTGCCGAGTTCCTTAAGTGTACCTAAAAGGATTAATGCTGGTTGATTTAGATTTTTCTTGTGTTCATTGACTTTGCATGTTGTTAATTGATAAAAACATACTAAAATGCCTTTTTTGAAAGCATTCGTACTTTACAGCATTTTTCAACACCTGCCTTTGCACGGTACCGTATCTTACATACATACATTTAAATGGGTGCATATAATACAGCCATTTAAAAGTATGGCAGATTCAGATGTATCTTTTGGTTTTGGACTATCAATTAACAAAATTGCTTCTAATACTCAATTTGTTTTCTGTCAGTCCTCTACTGAATTAACTAACTAATCATATAAGTTAGTAAGTAGTAAAGAGATTAGTAAAGAAAGTTATTTATCATTTTGTCATTTATTTGACATATGAGCTCAAACAAGTGCTAGTGTGTGAAAAGCATCAAACAGAATCCGTTGCTCCAGCAGCACCACTGGTTAACCTGTTAAAGCTAGTCTCACTTGTCAGCGCTGTGTGTGTGTGTGTGTGTGTGTGAATGGGTGTAATGTACCTGGATGTGCAAAGACAACTCACCATGGCTTTGGCATGATGAAAGTTTGGGAGTGGGAGTTTTATCTTCATTTCCCCAGGCTGTCAGTCACGCAGTAACTATGGCAACAATTAACACCTCTATCACAACCCCGTCACCGTTCTCGTCCAGCAAGCCCCGTGACGAGAGTAGAAGATAATCCTGCAACATCCTCTGCAGCCGACTGATCTTCTGACTGTGGGTGCTCAGGAAAAGACTTGGCCGCAGTGACAGATGGTGATTTTTCAGCGTTTTACAGTGCAGTGGTGTCTTGACAGTACTGTGATACAATGGAGGCACAGCTCTCACAGATAGTTTGCCATGGTAACAGATGGTTGGCAGTTGAAGAAGCCACGGTGAGCGAGCGAGGGCGCATTTTTTAGCGAGTCCCGGCCGCGATTTTGTTAGGCACCCGGCCTCCGTTGATGTAGAGGAAGTCAACCAAGAGTGGGAGCTCCATCTGTCTCACTCCTCGTTGCTCTTTTCATCCGTCCCACTGTCCCTCGCCTCTCTTCCCCCCACCCCCAGTGGAATGACTTTGTTTGTGTCAGTGGGATGCTAAAATGGGTGAGCGGAGCTATTCTGCATATTAGCGTGCGGCACTAACAAGCTACGGTTGCCTCTGATGAGCTTGTTTGTGCTGCCGTTTGTTTTTTATATGAATGTAAATGGGCTGAAGCTATGCGTGTGTGTTTGTTTGTGCCACACACACAGTGTGAATACATATACTTGATTCAGGTCCAGCATTGTACGTGAGTGTGTATATCCAGTCCTGGCCTGACTGTTTACCATCACTAATAGAAAATTCAGAGAGTGTGTGTGTGTGTGTGTGTGTGTGTGTAATTCGTGGGTTGTACACATGTGTAATTTAGATGTAACTGTGTTTTCTAATAGATGTAAATTTGATGCATGTGTGTATCTGTGAATTCAATTTAGAGGAATGTGACTGATGGTGTTTGTGAGCATGCAATAGATGTAGCAATAAGAATGCAAATTGGATGTGTGTGTGTCTGTGTGCGTGTGTGTGCGTGTGTGTGCGGGTGCGTGTACAGTACATCTGTGACCCTGGCAGAGGTTAACAAGAGCGGGGTGACAGTGACAGAGGAGTGTGTTATAATGATCCCAGCTAGTCCTTGGGCTTGTGTATGTGTACGAAAGCACATAAACCTTGAACTTCACTGCCTTTGTTCTCAGACTTTCTTTCTTTTTGCATCGTAGCTTTGTTAAAGCTATGCAGAGAAACTGTGGAGGAAAGAAAACCTTCATGTTCTTGGCCTCCACCTGAGATTGCTCCTTTTGGACTGTTCTTCATTACCTTTCTCACACGCTGTTCGGAGGTTGAAGGAGAAAAGTGGATGACAATGCCGAGAATGTCTTAGATGAGATCTGAAAAATGCAAGAATGAGAAGTAATCCTTTGAGGACATGGAAGGACTTTTTCTCAACCTGTTCCAGGATGCAGTGGCTGGTTCTAATGTAGTGCACTTGAATTCTGCTACTATTCTAAACAAATTATTCACAGTGACACGTCTGCCAGTAATTTTTCGTTGGCCTAGGTTCTAGTCATTTACTGCCTTTAACTACTGCAGCTCACTCCTTTGCTGTCTGTTGATGTTTCTGGTGCTAGCTTACAGGGCAGTGAAGGGAAAAGCCCCTTCTTACCTCCAAGCAATTTTGCAGGTGTTCTCACTTAATTTAGTCATAGCTTTCATCAACAGCTTATTCCCATATTTTATGAGGTTCTCATTGCTCATAATATGGACATTATATTGCATTCATTTTGACCTACAATTTTCCCTCAGGAGCAATTTGGATTTCAGCATGTAGACGGGGGGAGCTGGGGATCGATCCACAAACCTTACAGTTCCTGGCCAACCTGCTATAGGTAGCAATAATGAGAAAAAATTGGCCAAAACTTGCTGTAAATAAAGTTCAGAACTATTCACCAAATGCACGATTCTTATCACAGACATACAGTTCATATTAATATTTGGCTAAATAGCTGCATGAATGTAGCTGTACAAAAATGTTGAAACAGACTTGGTTAAATTTGCATTGGACATTTAAGATGGCAAAAAGTGCAAAGTCTAGTGCGGGAAAAAAAAACACCTGCAAACATAGTCTCGAGACTCAAATGCAGAAATGATCCGTATGTATATGTAGTATTAAACGTACAGACAGAGATTGTTGTCTCCTGTGATCTTCCTCTACCATGCCGCCATCATGCAGGTCCCCTCTCTTAGCCCACCAGTATCAAAAGCAGCCCTCTTCTTCTCTATCTTTAGTAGTATTGTTTATCTGCTGTTAAAAGCCACAGTTCAGAGCTCTGCTGAGATTATTAGAGAAGCTCATTCTGTTTCATCTGTATCTGCCCATCTTTCTCTTTTCCTCTTTTATCTCCTGCACCTTCTTTTGTCCATTGGCTAGATTGGGTTGTTGAGAAGCAGGTAGATAAAGGGTGAAGTAGCCACCTGCGTCCCAGTGTCTCTCTCTCTCTCACACACACACACACACACACACACACACACACACACACACACACACACACACACACACACACACACACACACACACGTTATTCTGATGTTTGGCAGGACCTGTAAGCTAATTTGTATCCCTATCTGTGTAGCCCGGAGCAAAATGCAAATGGATTTTTTGAAGAGCTTACACATAGAGAAGGGTTGGGAGTGCATGTGTACAGCTGTGTGATACTGTTTCAGTGTTTTTATGATTGTGTACATTACATTATGTACATCCTCATTTTCAATATCGTTAAACATGTGTGCGTGTGTGTTTATTTGACAGCACCCTGACGAGGACCGTAGAGTTTCCAGGGGACTGGGGCCCCTTGGGTATCCATGTGATCCCCTACTGCTCCTCTCTCAGTGGACGGTAAGCATACACCCACACGGCTGCACACATATTGTGCAAATACAGCTACAGGCTCTCTTCCCGCCACATCCATTCGTAATCAATCAGACATTCATAAAGAAAGGCAGATGGCAATGTTGACTCATACGAATGCATAAAAACAGTCAAGCATTGGCATGTAATCATATGTGTTTACCTTCCATTCGTATTCATATTTGCTCTATACTCTCTGTGTTGCAAGGGCCCTGGGCCTTCACATTAAAGGCATCGAGGAAAAGAGTCGCGCCAAGAAAGAGAATCTCTTCCAGCAGGATGAGTGTATCGTCCAAATCAACGACACACCACTCCAGGACAAGACCTTCACACAGTAAGTGTGCTAGGCTGTGTGTGTTTGTGTGTGCATGTCTGCAAACAAGTAGGTATAAATAATGAAACCCAGAAAACAGAAACGAGCGGCCTAGGGGTTTTCAAATTTAGTTAGCTTTCAACATTTGTTAAAATTTAAGATATAAATAAGAAGAACTCCAAAGCTTCGGTTGAGATCCAGTCACCTTGTGTTGGCTGAGGAGGCACAAACACTGCAGTTTGGAGTGGCAGCCTAATCCTCTGTTTTTCGGGCACTCCCTGTTACACTCATTAACACATCCATCCTGAAAGCTGCGCAGTATAACTGCTAGGGGTGTGGAAAATAATTGATTTTTAGATGCATCGCGATGCAGACTTAGACACTTATGAATCGATTCACAAATGTCAATTATCGATTATCTAGAGCTTAATTGATAAGGTAATGTTGGCGGAACGAAAAAAGACTAACTCGGAAATGCGGAAGTGCAGCTCCGGACCGACTATGTGATGCACACAACGGAGACATGTGGTTCTTCCTGTTCGGCACAGACAGACAGCTGTTGATTGAGTGACTGCTGCTACTAAACCTTACACATGATCAATAAAATCAATGCACAACTAACGTTAATGATTTTAACCCGCACACTGGTGCAGCATGGTAGCGCTTACCGAGCGTCCTCTCTTCCTTCTACAAAAGACAGCTACTTGATAGGCGCCAGTAGGTGACGGTGAAAGCAGCGGAGTAGAGGAAAAGATGAGCGCTACGTTTCAGTCTGGCAGTAAATGTACAGTGTAGGTCACAGCGTGTCTGTTTATGGTGGTATTATGCTTTTTGGCTTTTTCCCTCTCCTTTATTGAGTTATATATCTTTTTGTGTAATAGGTTTGTGAAAAAGCCCAAAGTCCAGCCCAAAGGGAGTTCCCATCTCCCACAGAAAACTGCTTTGAACTGCCTGAAAACAGCTCGTTTGTAGTCAAACCGCTTCCCTTTCATCCTTATGACGTCACAGGGAAGAAAGCTAAATGCGTCTTGTATAACGCTCGCCAAACGGCTAGTCCGACACACCTTCAAAAACACCGGTGGAAAAACACAGAGCTGCAGCACACACCTCCTCTCCCTTGCAAACACTAGCTACCCTCCAGGCAGTCAGTGGGTAAAGTTGTTAAGGTGATGTAGAGACAGAGCTCTGTTATAACTTTATGGATGAAAAATACTTTAGTTACAGATTAATAACTCACCACTCTGAAACTCCTGCTCCAGTCCATGTAGCCTACAGCTGAATCAAAGCTGTTTACCGTCTTTTGGCTGACCCGCCCTTCTCTGCTTCTGATTGGCTAGTAGTCCTAAACTAGGAACTGTGCATGTGCAACTCCCAACAAAGATCATTTAGAGACAAGATGTATCACTCCACAGCTAAAACGAAGCCTTCAACACAAGGTGAAAAGAAGAGCTGCAGCAATGTGCAGTATGGAGAAAAAAAAAATATGGTGTTGAAAATTACACCATGTAAACTTGTTCTGGCACAACCCCTAAATAGGATTTTGAACCTGAAAATGAGCATAATATCACCTCTTTAAAGTCTGTCTGTTGTTTTCCAACTGCTGGATAAGTTAAGGCATGTAGCGCTAACATTAGCAAACATCTCCTCTTCAGACTGCAGTCTGGAAGCTGAGCAGGACGCTTTTTGGCTGCTAGTTCAATTTCATTTGTTGTCATTCATCCACATATCGAGGACACAATGAACCCAATGCATGGTGCTCAATACAAGATTACAATAATCAACTTACAAGACAAGAAACAAACATGTAACTACACTAGACAAGACAAAAAAAGGAACAGATATATTAAGGTGGAGTGAACCTGCTTTGGCTGGAGCATTGTAAAGTGCGTAGTTCAACCCCCATCTGACTCTATACTAATAACAGCAACATCAGAAATAAAAATTGCAGCAGCAGAGGTCAGTAATAACACTGTAATAATGTAATAATGCTATTCAATGTTGGCTACATTTATATGAAGTAACAATAAATATCTGTATTTCATTACTACGTACTTGTTTGGATTGTTGTTAAATAGTTTTACTTTTTAAATGCTTTAAAAGCACCAAGTAGTCACACAGTGAGAAAAATACATCTTTATCCAATTTATTTTACAATCGCATCGTAGCACACATAATCGTAATGAGGTGCCTAGAAATTCCCACACTTGAGGTGATGCATCGAGATATCAAATCGAATCGTTGACCTGATGATCATAATCGAATTGTGACACCAGTGAAGATGCACACCCCTAATAACCGCAGTCTGGTTTGCTGGTGCCTCAGTCATGGTGATGAGGGAATGGCAAGCAGTGCTCTTCCATTTTGCTCACCAAGATTCATCATGCCAGCTTTTCTAACCCTTATGACACAGAATAAATTAATAATTATTGTTTTAATTAATTCATTTGTGCACTGTAAATACAACCTAAAATATCTTTTCAGCTTCTTTTTCGCTATACCTGCTCCAAATACTGGAGGATCCACTTCAAAACTATTAAATTGACTAACTCAATATCTCAATATTATATGCATGAAAGTTTAACTGGAGCATTCTGTCCCCTGACATTGATGGGGCACAATCAGCTCGATCATTTCACTAGAGAAGATTCACCACACTGTAGGTGTGAACTGCACTAACAAAGTGGAGAAGAAATTGTAGCTAGCGCATGATTATCTAGACAAAAGCGAAGTTTAATTTACTTAGTAGTATCCGCAGTTGACGGCAGCTAAAAATGAGAAGCCTGCTACCTGAATGTTTTGTACATTAATCTCGATCATTTGCTACCAAAAAATTACGAAATATGTTTGCCCAGGAGCTTAGCAATCATGGTGTTTTACCAACCTGGAATGGACACAAAGAACTATCTGTTGAAACTAAGCCTAGAAATGAGTTTCTGTGTTTCTTTACAATTTCTTTGGTTATGCGCATGTGTACTCCCACTCTCCCTGCCACCATTGTGGCAATACCTCACCTGTCACTCAGTTTGCCTCCTTTATGAGCCAAAATCAAATCCTTCTCCTTCTCTGCCATTACTATTTCACCACCACATCTACAGTGTGTATCTCTTTCTTTCTCTCTGTTCCTAATTTTTACAGCGCACACACCCTACAACCTCCTGTTCTTTCTCTATTTTCTCTCTCCTCTCTGTGGTGAAGAGGTCTGAATAGGTCCATTTAACTGCATCCCACTGTGTTGTCTGTGTTGTGTGAATGTTGGACTGATAGTAGTCAATTAAAGCTGCAATAGGGGCCTGCTGCAAGGTCTCCTCCATCTGATAGGGACCACAGTGTCCCAAACCAGCTGGAAGAGTCACTCTGTGCTCGATCCAAATTGAAATACAGCTCCATTAACAACGCGCAAGTCGCATTCACCCTCCTCATTCTCTGCTTTCCAACTGTCTCTGTTCTCCTTCTGTGTTCCGCTTGACATTCTTGGTCTATTATACTATTTTCTGCTTTTGTAGTGTTCCCACAAGCAAAAACAAAAATATTTCTAATTTCCTCAATTTTCCTTTCCTTTCCCTAGGTCACAGGAAGTATTCCGGCAGGCTATGGGCTCCTCTTCTGTGCGTCTGGAGGTCCTCCCCGCGGCCAGCAAGCCGCGCTACGAGAAAAGCCTGATAGGGCAACTTTTCTCTGCCGATGACAAAGTCTCCTCTTCAAAAGCAAGTCCGATCGTGGTCCGCACTAAAACCGACTCCCAACCAGAGCCCAAACAAGATATCAAACCGAACACCAAACTAGAAGTGAGGCGACCAGACGCACGTGCCAAGACCCCAGAGCCAGCTGTGGTAAATCCACTACCAGTGGAGCTCCAGTCTGGACATGGCTCCTTGGAGAGAGTCTCTCCTACACCTGCAGGCAGGGCAGTGAGCTCCTCCCCGACACCCAGGACCCACAGCCAGAGCCCCCTGGCCAGTAAGAGCCCTGATCTGCCTGGCCTGGCCAACCTTACCAGCAGGAAGGGTGGCAAGAGATTAAAAATTGACTTGAAGAAAGGTAACTGTGCCGCGTAATACCGGTTTAACTTTGTATTATATCAGTGATTTCTGATAATGGGTAAAAATGGAAGGGAGTACAGAAAGATGAGTTTACTTGCCATGGGTAGTACTACACGTTTTTAAAGGGAAGCCTGCAGTGCAAACTGTGGTTGTGGGCTTTGAAAGATTTGGGCGTTAACTTTTTTTCAAACTGTTTTATGGGAGGTGTAGGATTAAATGTTGGACAGAGGACGAAAAGGGAGGATTTCTGTGCTTCTGCTGCTTTGATGTTGATCATTCTTTTTTATTAATTTATAAAGTGCATTACTAAATTACTAAATACCTCTTTCTTATTAAGAATTAATATATAGCTGTTGTTTTTAACATTTTGTAATGACTCATTTTGTTTGTCTCCTGTGAATTGGATTAATGAGGCCTGAACATTCTTTTAGATTTTGCCCTTTTGAGTTTGAGTCTTAGATCACTTATATCACAACAATAATCTTTGTTTAGGAAATGTTACTTTTTTAACTTTAAATGTAAAATTTTGCTTCTCTCATTCCTTTCTTGTTCTCCTCTCCCTTGCTAAGGAACTGTTGTCAAGAAGCAAAATAATCCACACTTTATCTTTTTGTCTTTTTGAGGACACCCATGCTTATTTATAGTTTAGATCTTCCAGATTTGTTTTTCTGATGTAATGTAACAGGTGACTTTAAAGCTGTTGAGCAGCTGATTTGAAAGTTCTGGACATTATATTCCTCACCAGCACGTGGATTTTTTAATTTATTTATTCTTATTGATTTTTTTTTAATTCAGGCAAGGAAAGAGTCCTATATAAAGCTCTGGACTACTGAAAGCAATTTTCGTCCATATTGAAAGTAACTTTCCATTGTGAGGATATTTTTCATTTTTTATCTTGCGGGATAACCTTACATACCTAGACTGCATCAGTCTAGCTTCCCCGGTCGCCTTATCTCTTATCCCTCTAAAACACATCAGTGCTGGAGCGCTGATATGTTGATAGCACTGAAATAGGTTTGTGTGACTGAATAGGCTCTGTTCTAGCAACCTATAGTGTTATGGGGGCATTGAAAGGATAGCAGTAGTCGGGCTACATGCACACACGCCCCCACGCACACATACTCGCTGCAGGTACCCAGAGAAAAGCAAGAAGATACCGAGATGAAAGGATAGAAGAAATTGGGCTCCACACTCTCCAGCTCTAGCCCTAAGCCCTGTTCACGGCTGTTTTATTGTTAGTTTCTTTCTTTTCCCAACACCTTTTCATCCCTCCCATTTTCTTTTCCCTCCATCCTTCTTTTGTTTGATTTTCTTCCCTGTCTCCTTCTATTCTTTCAGTTGATGCAAGATTGCAGAGGATATTATGGGGTATCTAACACCCTCTCCCTTGGCAACAGGCTCTTTCTCTCTGTGATTGACAGGCGGTGAGGTTTAGGTGTGCTAATGTAGGGCAGTCAGAGGCTTAGCTTGGAGACCAGATAGCATCACTCACCGCCTTTAGTATGCCACGCCGGCTTTGCTCTCTTTTCACTCACACACACACACACACACACACACAGAGCATGGCACATTTCACTCATGGCTTGGGGCTTGTGAGGCCGTGAAAAAGGAGAGGGTGGAGGTTCCGGGGGTTGATGGCTCATGCTTATGTGTGTGTGGCCTCCAAAACACACACTTGTAAATATATACACACAGATAAACGTAGGCTCACACCCACAAGGAAAATCTTTGTGGAAATCACATTGCATCCCCAGGGAGGGAAGCTAGAGAAGGGAATAATCAGGTTCTTCTCTTCCCTCTCTCGTCCCTCTGCCCCCACCTTCCTTCCATCTTCTCCGTCTACCTCCCTTCATCAGCCACCGTTCGGCCTGCTCACACGTGAAATTAAAGGCAGAGTCTGTCTAATCCGGCTAGTAGAGAAACCTTCTCCCGGTGGCTCAGAGGTCGAGCCAGGCCGCAAACCCCCAAAGGAAAACAGGCACTTAAACAGAAGTTAATGTGGAGGAGATACTGAAACCGCAGACCGGAAGACAGGAGAGGAGGAGAGGGGGAAAACTCTGTGGCGAGTGGAGAAGGAGAAAGAAAGGAGAAAAGTGACAGAATAGGGAGACGAGAAGGAAAATTAAATTAAAACAAAATTAGAAAGTCATAAAATGAATAAATTCAAGTCTTGTCTGCAGGGGGATTGATGTCCCTAATGCACAACGTGACGAAGGCTGCTTTGTTCCCGCAGGTGCAGAGGGTCTGGGCTTCACTGTGGTAACCCGGGACTCCTCTGTGCATGGGCCGGGGCCAATCCTGGTGAAGAGCATTCTGCAGCGCGGCGCAGCAGTCCAAGATGGCCGCCTGCAGCCTGGAGACCGCATCCTAGAGGTAAGGCAGACCTCAGCCTGTCAATCTCCCACAGAGTAGAAAACCAACAGTCACAGGAATGGCCTCTGTTTGCAATAACAGGAGCAATATCATCATTACTAACAGGACATTGAGCTCTGTGCACCCCTGCTGGTTGAACTCAGCCTTGTACATGAGTACAGAGTGAGCTAATCAGAAATGACCTTTCTATTTTGTTTTGAACTGCATAGTCAATGTCAAACACCAGCTTAAAAAAATCACAGCAGTGGCTACTCTGGATAATCCACAAACCTCACTGTGAACAGAGTTTTTGTCTTCTTTCTACCAAAGAAATAGTCCCTCTGAAAGTTGTGGTGGAGGCGGAAATGTTAAAGAATATATCAAAAAACAAAGACCAGTAAAACCATGGATATGTGCGAAAATATGTTGTCTTCATGTTCATTTTTCACAAGTGAAATGACCCTTAAAACACAGAAATGTCCATGTCTGGTCTACAAGTGTAGTTGGATACGTGTTAGTGGAGCACTGCCAGTGGATTATACACTTCACTTTAATCTACTCCACTGTGTGTGTGTGTGTGTGTGTGTGTGTGTGTGTGTGTTTGTTTGTGTGTGTTTTCTCCTTTGTTGTGCATGTGTGTAGGTGAATGGAGTAGACATGACAGGCCGTAGCCAGGAGGAACTCGTGGCCATGCTGCGCAGCACCAAGCAGGGAGAGAGTGTGTGTTTGGTGGTGGCGCGGCAGGAGGACATCTTCTTGCCTCGGGAACTGGTAAGAGAGTGTGAAGACACAAAAACACAGCGTCCATGTCCTCACACAGCCTGCTGAAACTCGGCACAGTGTCCCGTCATTTCTGCCTCTCTTGTTCATCATTTGTCTGCCCTGGAGGTCTCCGCTTTGTCGTTTTCCCGTCCTTTTTTAACATTTCCTTCACATTGTGTCATTTTTTCCTTTTCCTCTCTCAAAAGGGCAAACCTCTTTATGTTGATGCCCTTTTGCCGACAAACACCACACATGGACACACACACAGACAAACCCGATGCACACTCCAGCCTTTCCTGTCCCACTGTGGTCTGTTGACACAGCAATGCCAGAGGAAGTCACACACACAAGTCACAGCGGCCCCCCCAGGAAACACGCGAGCATGTCCACACGTGTCGACATGCCGCGGATGTTAAGGGACCCGCTTACCTGCAGCGACTGACGGGGTTTGACTGTGCCTCACGAGGGGACATTTTATCAAGCCACGCTTTTAAACATATACACACACTGCCAGGTAGCCCCATTAAAGTCCCCCGCTCTCTGTAAATGATGTATTCGCCCGTACGCTTCTTTTCTCTCCCCTCTGTCCTCTGTGGTTATTCTGATTATTCCCTCTCTGTTACTTCAAAGAGCTCTGAGAAAGACACGCAGGGCTTTGTAGTGACTGATGCATATTCACACCTAGAGTGGCTGCGCGCACACTCTTGCACACAAACTCTTAAACACGTAGTCCTTGATAAAAACTCGAACATGAGTACTCATTCTCACACGCACACATGCACAGACGAACACATCTCACAATCTTTAAACAGCCAAGTTACTGCTTCCGAAAATAGTTTGCCCTCATTAATGGCCCAGCAGTCTTGGCATAACAAGTGCACTTTGAAGAGCCTCTACAGTCTTCATCTAACGCTTGCTTGTATTTGTGCATTAGAGACTTAAAGATGGGGGGGAGGGGAGGTGTTATAGTGGAAAGGCTAGAGAGCCTTCATTCCTGTCTCTGTTGAGGCTGTTGAAGTTGTTGGTGCCCCGTGAGATCCTGCCCTTATCTCCAGCACAGTCCTCCACCTCAAAGACTGTTTTGATGTCCCCTGAGTGCACAAACACACAGAGTTCCCTCACATATTTACAGAACACCACACACAGGCACTCTAGAGGTTAGGCGTCATTGAATTTAAATGTGCAGACCCTCAGAAAGTGAAGGATTACATAAATACGCAGATGTGGAAACTGCCACCGAGAACATCATTAAAAGTAGCCAAATGGGCAAATGCAAACACACACAAAGCAAACCTGACATAAGAAAAAAATGCAGCTACACGACTGCTTCTACGGTAAACACGTCCCCACCTTTCCAAAATCTACACGCTAATGCAAAATACACGCCAGCGAAGAATGTTTTCCTCCCTTTTCTCTTTCTCCTCCCTTGCCTGTTTTAATTGCTAGACTCTTTCTTCCACCGCTCTCAAGTAGTAAATTGTAGTGGAAATTTATGTATAGCACTAGCAAGGACCGTCTCGCAACGATTTGGTCGCACAAAAGATGAAATGATGATGGAGACGCATTAAGTCAACGTGGCCATCTGCCTCTGCCATCGTATGAAATTGTTTGTGTGTAGGTGTCTGTCTGCATGCCTGTGTGGGTGCTCATGAATATTTATAAATGTTTGAGGGGCTGTAATATCTTGTAGAAACTGGCTTTATGTATCCACAGAACTATGGTCATATTTGTTTAAGATAACTATCTGATGGAGATCAGCAGTTCATTATCAGTTTTAGCTTCAGTAGCTGTTGAGATTAGTTGGCTTTTTCCTTGACTAAGCCTTATGTTGCTTCTTCAAATGGTGAATCTACAATATCAACTTAATTCCTATATCAAGGTTTAATTTGGTCTTCGATGGGAACATTTTGTCCAGCGGCAGATACAGTGCCTTGCGAAAGTATTCGGCCCCCTTGAACTTTTCAACCTTTTGCCACATTGCAGGCTTCAAACATAAAGATATAAAACTGTAATTTTTTGTGAAGAACCAACAACAAGTGGGACACAATCATGAAGTGGAACGAAATTTACAAACTTTTTTAACAAATAAAAAACTGAAAAATTGGGCGTGCAAAATTATTCAGCCCCCTTAAGTTAATACTTTGTAGCGCCACCTTTTGCTGCGATTACAGCTGTAAGTCGCTTGGGGTACGTCTGTATCAGTTTTGCACATCGAGAGACTGAAATTCTTGCCCATTCCTCCTTGCAAAACAGCTCAGCTCAGTGAGGTTGGATGGAGAGCGTTTGTGAACAGCAGTTTTCAGTTCTTTCCACAGATTCTCGATTGGATTCAGGTCTGGACTTTGACTTGGCCATTCTAACACCTGGATATGTTTATTTGTGAACCATTCCAGTGTAGATTTTGCTTTATGTTTGGGATCATTGTCTTGTTGGAAGACAAATCTCCGTCCCAGTCTCAGGTCTTTTGCAGACTCCATCAGGTTTTCTTCCAGAATGGTCCTGTATTTGGCTCCATCCATCTTCCCATCAATTTTAACCATCTTCCCTGTCCCTGCTGAAGAAAAGCAGGCCCAAACCATGATGCTGCCACCACCATGTTTGACAGTGGGGATGGTGTGTTCAGGGTGATGAGCTGTGTTGCCTTTACGCCAAACATAACGTTTTGCATTGTTGCCAAAAAGTTTGATTTTGGTTTCATCTGACCAGACACCTTCTTCCACATGTTTGGTGTGTCTCCCAGGTGGCTTGTGGCAAACTTTAAACAAGACTTTTTATGGATATCTTTAAGAAATGGCTTTCTTCTTTCCACTCTTCCATTAAGGCCAGATTTGTGCAGTATACGACTGATTGTTGTCCTATGGACAGAGTCTCCCACCTCAGCTGTAGATCTCTGCAGTTCATCCAGAGTGATCATGGGCCTCTTGGCTGCATCTCTGATCAGTCTTCTCCTTGTATGAGCTGAAAGTTTAGAGGGACGGCCGGGTCTTCGTAGATTTGCAGTGGTCTGATACTCCTTCCATTTCAATATTATCGCTTGCACAGTGCTCCTTGGGATGTTTAAAGCTTGGGAAATCTTTTTGTATCCAAATCCGGCTTTAAACTTCTCCACAACAGTATCTCGGACCTGCCTGGTGTGTTCCTTGTTCTTTGTGATGCTCTCTGTGCTTTAAACGGACCTCTGAGACTATCACAGAGCAGGTGCATTTATACGGAGACTTGATTTCACACAGGTGGATTCTATTTATCATCATTAGTCATTTAGGTCAACATTGGATCATTCAGAGATCCTCACTGAACTTCTGGAGAGAGTTTGCTGCACTGAAAGTCAATTTTTCAGTTTTTTATTTGTTAAAAAGGTTTGAAATATCCAATAAATTTCGTTCCACTTCATGATTGTGTCCCACTTGTTGTTGGTTCTTCACAAAAAATGACAGTTTTATATCTTTATGTTTGAAGCCTGCAATGTGGCAAAAGAATTGAAAAGTTCAAGGGGGCCGAATACTTTCGCAAGGCACTGTATCTGGGACCATTTATGACACTATGACAATTTGGTGATATGATCAAATAGGGGTTGTTTACCTGTTGGAATTCACTTTACTCCTGACTGTGCAGGTGGGACAGTATTAAAGACACCCAGTTTCTGCGCTATAGTTTAATCATGAAAAAGCTGTTAACGCAGCTTTTTTTGGTCATGATATTTATATCCATGTGGTGTCAGTGTCACAGCAGTATAGGGGGATGAAAAGAAAGATCATCACTCACAGCTGTGCGTCCTTGTATCCAAAATAATTAAATCCAACGTCTGACTAAACCTGAAACATGCACAAAAATAAATAACTCCAAGGAAGTCGGCTTTCACAGCTGAACAGTAGATTGTAAAATTCAGACACATGTGCACTGTAAGGAAAAAGTTTGTGCTCTAACTATTGACGCTGCTCTCTCACTGCTAGTCCAACAAAAAAATTCAGTATCTTATATCACTACTACGCTCAAAAATATGGTAGTGGAGAAATCTCACTGTAATGTACACAGGGCTTTTACAGTGACCCATATCCATTCTTAGCTGTTTCTCCTACTAACCTGGTTTCCTGTGTTCATGCAGTGTTCAACAGCTTTGAGCACTCCTGTCCCTAAAAGAACTTAGAATATACAACTCTAACCCACAATTAACTGTACATATTGTACTGTGTAGTGTACTTTACATGCAGGAAACTCCAACTGATAGTTTGATTCACTGATTGTATAGCAAGACTGAGAGTCTACAAGGCTGTACTGAGGCATAGCAGTGCTTTGAGCTAAATACTTATGGCAGCATGGCTACATGCTCACTATTACAATGCTAACATTTCAACGTTTAGCAGACTTAATGTTTACCATGCTCACCATAGTTTAGTGTGTTAGCATGCTAGCATTTGCTAATTAACACTAATTACATAGTACAGCTCGGGCTGATGGGACTGTATTAAGATTTGCAGGTGTTTGGTCATAAACCGTTAGTATGCAAGTACAAGACAAGTGAAAGTTTGACCTGATGATGAAGGTGATTCTGGAAAGTCAGAGGATCCACTAAGTTTTTAATTACAATTCATCCTGATGGGGACATGAATGTGTGGACCAAATTTTAATCCATCCAAAAATAGCCTGGATATTTCAGCCTGGACTAAAGTGGTGGAACGACCAGCCAACATTACCATCCCTAGAGCTCTGTAGCTAGTGTGGCTAAAAATAAGCGAAGGAGGAGGGAATCCACAACGACTGAGGCTACATGTGCTGCGCTGATATCCGTAGAAATACTTGACTGAGTGACACTGGGAGGTTAAAGGTGCGATCACGGGATTCAATTATTTGCCAAAGGACACTTCAGCAGAGCAGACACATGCTGACATGGCAGTTTGAACACACGTTGCCCAATTAAAAGGCTAGTTTCTGTTCTCACTGCACCATCCTGGTGCCAACCTACAAGATTTATATTATCTGCTCCAGTATTCATATAATTTTTTTTTTTTATCTCCCTTTTACAAGTAAAGTAGACATTTAGGGGAACTAGCTGCACTGCTGATTGATTAGTTTCAATAGAGAAGGTATTGATGTTTCAGCTGAAGCGTGTGGTTCTGTGAAAGCACTCGGCAGTGCTGGGAGGCACACTGGTCTCTTTCAGTCAAAAGACTTAACAATAAAGCCTGTGAATTAGCCGCATTATTAGGACACAAAAGGACGGCGATTTTCTACCCCATCTCCTGTACTCTCACGCACTCTCTAAGTAATTAAAAAGTGATAACTTCTAATCACAGTTTCATTCAAGTCAGCATTTCTGCTTCTCTGACGCTCGGTGCTCTCATCATTTCACGAGGCCTCGTTTTGTTTCAGGGAGGAGATTAGAGAGATGCTTTGCGATGTGGAGAGTTTATTTTTGTGGGGGGGTGGGTTGGTGGGTTTGGCGGGAGCGTGATATGTGTGTTTGTGTTACTGAAAGTGTGTATTTGCAGCAGTGCAGAATTATGAGTTTGCCAAGGACAGGATGAAGGGGTCACTCTGCACATGGTTGACCCTCAGTTGCCAGCAAGCCTAGGCCAATTCAAAGGAAAACAGGGTCATTAGGCAGAAAGGGGTCAGCCTGAAGGGCAACTTTGCTATGTTGTCAGCTAGTCCTCTCTGTCTTCTCTGTCTGTCTTAGAGCTGAAGCTCTTCTTTCACTTATTTCCATTTTATTATCCTCCCTCTGCCTCCAACACACCCGTATTATCCCTCAATCAATCATTTTATTTTCTTTTCTCTTCCTTGTGAGGTAAAGGTGTAAAGCGGCAAAGAAGCAGACATTAAGGCGATTAATTGGCAGCTCCAACGTCGTCTCCGAGCGCGGCGAGATCTCATCTTAATTGAATGTCGCTCTCACCGCTAATCCCACCGCTTTGAAACCCCCCATTTAGAAATCCAGAGTGACAAAAGGCTCTGTGTGTAAGCGCTGTGTATCACCCCCACCTCACCACCCACCCTGGGGTAAGAAAAAGCTCCTTTTTGTCTCCCCATTTGGGTGTTGATGGGGTGGTCTTTTCTTGCTAAAAGCTTGTTAAAGAGCCATAGCTGAGGGCTAACAGCGGAGGGAGGAGGGGTCGCAGAGCGGAGGCAAGGGGTCTTAACCACCCTGGGGACACAATCTGCCCCCAAGGAAAGGGCATTAAAGGGGATATTGGAGTTTGGGAGTGTGTGTGCCTGTGTTTGGACCACCACTGAGATTCAGTTGGTTCTGTAAATAGATTTAAATTGGTAGTGAAATACAATAAATAAACATGTTCAGTTTGTGTGACTTAACATTCTCATAACTTTCCAATATCTAGGTTTCCTTCCAGAGCCTTCAGAGCCTGCTGCGCTCTGATCTGGCCACCGTCACCTTGTGTGTTACTGCAGCTAGATCACAGAGGTATTTAAAACCTCCCAGGTTGCCATCTGAGTCTTCTCAAGTGTCTCTCGAGCAGGAAGTGGCGGATTGTCTTTGTAATTCTTTCTGGTTTCGAGTAACAGCCCTCTGAAATGCCTTGTTGATAAAAATAAGCCCTGACTGAAAGTCTTGTATTATACTGAAATAGAAAATAGATTCCATGACTTTTGAAGGCAGCGCTTTGCTTGATTTGTCTTGCTGTCATCATATCAAGGAACTAAATATTAGTAGGGACCTGAACCAGCACCTCAACCCATAGGCCACCAGAGTGCCCCATAGGTGTTGTATGCATTCAGTCACGTATAGTTTATGTACAGAATAATTGCACTGTTCAAAATGTAATGTTTATTCATTTTTATTGTCATTATTAGAGACTGTTTTCACCAGAGAAATGACCGCATTTGTTGTTGGTTCACACGCCTAAAATGATCTGTATTGATGTTTACCTGACAAGCGATCTTTATTGGCCATTTAAATTATGACTTCTGTGTCTCCAGAGCAGAGGGGAAAAAGTAGCATGAAGTTGTTGAAGCCACTGTAAAACCACTTACGGAGGTGGTTAAGGGACAGCTTTGACACCAGAGACCTCTGTCCAGTCAAGGTTTCTTTTACACATGGTCTCGATATTGCTCTAATCTTAACCAAGTAGTTTTTTTAAGCTTGACGATGAAGGTTTCCTTTAAACCTGACCAAACCTTAATCATAGTTTTGGAAATTAGTCATTTGAAGCATTTTGGTGGAAGCATTTTGTAAGGTACTGACAAATTATATCGCATTGTATCTAGTATCTGTCTGCCTCTAATTAATAGGCACTTAGCTGTCATCTGTTTTAAAATCCAAAGTGAACTTAACACAGTGTGTTGGATCTGTATTTTACAGTAGCTCAGGATTTTCTTTACTCTAATGCAGAAGACATTCCAGGTTTGGTTCCTTTACCTTTACTGGGCTGAGAGCTCTGACTCACACTTTGGAACAGAGTGTCCCTCCTGGCTGTAAGGCTTTAACAGGCTGCTGTTTTAATTAAGCACCTAGACGAAGCAGCGCAGAGCAGTGCTGACAAAGGGAGACAGAATTTTGGGGGGCTGGAGGATCATAGCGAGGTTCAGAGTGAGCTCCTGCGGTTATGAATTCTGCAAAATGATACTAGGGGACATGTTTGACTCGCACATCCTCCAGCATTGTGCCATGATGAGAGAGGAAATGTGAACATGGATTCCTGATTCAGTGGCATGCGAGCTGCCTGATGTAAGGCCTTCGCAATCCTGGTATGGGTACTCAGATCTTTAAAGCTGTGACACGTGGTGTGGCGGCTGTAATGTATATGCATATTCTGACAAAATTCACTTGACGTTTTTCTTACTTTGAGTGACTGAATTTGAAATAACCTCTGAACTGCCTTTAGTCTCAACCAGAGCAAGAAGATCAGAAAAAAGACATGCATACATACGCACCCTCTTAACCTTCCATCCTTCCTCTTTAAAGAAAATAAGACTTGAAGTGAAGTGGTGTTGAGGCGGGCCCCCCCTCCTCCGTAGGCCCTCTTTTCCCTGGGTGACTGAACCTGGCATGTTTTTCCTGCTCTCCATTTTGCCATCCTCTAATGACAGACATTTTCCTTTTCTCTTCTGTTGCCTTTTGTCTCCCTCCTGTTCTCTGCCCCCCCCATCTTATTTTCGGAGTAATGCCGCAGCCACCATGGTCATTTTCTTCACATTAAATAGCAGTGGGCGAGCAGGTGAAAGATGTAGAGAGAGAGACCTGTAGAAAGTAGAAATGGAACGGGAGTCTGGGGAGGAGGAGGAGGAGGAGAAATTGAGAAAGAGGAAGAGGAGAGGCAGCGAAGGGAGAGATGTACAGTAAGATTGAGCGATTAGGATGAAATGTAAAGAGGGAGGAGGGAGGAGAGGGGTGTGTACGAGAGGAGCGGGTATACCTTAGGGATGGGTGATTTACTTTTAAATGCTCCTCTGCGCCTCCATCCTCTTCTTTCCTCCCCCTTCCTCCCCCACAGTGCTCCAGGAGGAGGTATGAAAAGGTTATTATGTTTCCTTTAGAAATGTCTCGCTCTCCGTCTGCGCCTTTCATCTCCAAATGGAATAACCTCTCTACAGTAGCTTTCGTCTTTTTCTCAATACACCTTCATCTCTCTTTCCAGTACACAACACCTGCTCCTCTCTTCCTTTTTTTGGCTTTCTCTTACTCTTTCTTTTTTCTTCCCCTCAGCCTTCTTCCATCTGACTCTTTAATCCGATTCTCTTCTCCTTTTGTCCCCTGTTTTTTTTTGGTGTTGAGTATAATCAGAGCGGTGCATGTGGAGCATGCATTATCAGTCAGTGCATTAGATATGGTGCTGCTACCTCAATCGTCAGTGATCATACACAGTACGCAGTTATTATGTAAAGTAGGTATTAGGCGTGTGCACGAACAGGCTTTTCCTGTCTAAAATGGTAGCGTTTTACACAACATTTCAGGAAAAGCCTGAACTTAGAAGAAAGTAAAAGTCTTAAATACTCGTTTAAATGTGGTCTACCTTCATCTATCCCTCCTCCCTTCTTTTTCAGAAAGGTGAGGAGGTTGGCAGTCTGGTGATGGAGGACGGCATGGAGCAGCTCATGTACGAGATCCCCCTCAATGAATCGGGTTCGGCCGGCCTCGGGGTCAGCCTGAAGGGCAACAAGTCCAGAGAGACTGGAGAGGACCTGGGCATCTTCATCAAGTCCATCATCCATGGAGGGGCTGCTTACAAGGTAGAGGATCCTCAGCTGTTCCTGTACTCTGCAAAGGGAACATTAGCAGCAATTTTTTAAAAAACAACTAAACAATTTCAGTAAAAATATCAACATCCCCACCCCACAAGAGCACTACACTGATTGAGCATTGCACAAAACAAGATTGAAATGGAAAAGAAATAAATACATTTCAGTGTTCATTGCCTTTTATATTTGTTCTACTATTCCAAGCATTAATCAGTTTCCTTTTACTTCCTTACAATTCAGTTAATTCAGTTCAAAGAATCTCATTCATCCCCAGCAGGGCAATTGAAAAATATTTGTAGTAGCGTACATGAGGATGATATCAGTAGAGTGCGTAGTAACACATCAATATGAAAATCTCTTAGCAGACTTTGCAGAGCCTGCTAAACCATAGCAGTAGTGTTTACTACACATAACATAACACTGTACCCATCAAGTCAAGTATTAAAGTCTAGGACCTCAATTGGGAACACGAGCAAGAAACAAAATCGGATGACCATACAGGTTTTAAATTATTCTGAAGAGAAAATGAAAGTGAAGGGGTTAATCATTACTTAAACTGTCCACTGTAAACATCCATCACATTTTATAGACCAACTCCCTGCTCACTTTCAGTTTTACCTCCAAGTAAAGGAGTTTAGATAATCTAGGTAAACAGCTGGCTTATCAACAACCTGATTGCCTTGACTTCTGGTGGACGGCAAACATCTGAACTATACGTGGTATGGTCCTTTAAGGCGAAAATACCACAGCAGTGACTTCTTGACACCAAAGAAGAAATGGTGTCCTTAAACTCCTTAAAAAATGCATCAAACACAAGAAATGAGAAGCATTGCAGGAGCATTTAGAGATCCGCACTGCTTTCTTTATACAGATTTGTGTGAGTCTCTTCTTACTTAACTTATCAGGGGCTCTTTGAATTGTTATTTTATCCTTAGCCGCCTCTCCAACAAAGATCTGTTTTTCTTGTAGGAAGCTTAGCAGCAGTGTTTCTTTTTTCTACTTTTTAGATTTTTTTCACATGGTTGTATTTGTCCACACTCCTTTCCGCTTGTCTGATGTCTTTCTCTGTTGTTTCCTCTCATCTCCTCTTCCTTTGTGCCTCTCCATCTCATTTCCTGTCTTTCTCCGAGGCCACATCCCCTCCCTCTGCTCGCCTTCCCTCAACCTTTTGACTCCCGTTGACCCCGAGTGGCCTCGTCACATCAGCGCTGTGGCCGCCTTATCTATATCACTCAGCGCTCACTTTAAGTTGTGACTGCGTCAGGAAAATGAAAACACCCCGTTTCAGCGCTTTGGAGATTCTTCCACTTGGCCCTGGTCACATGTCACATCTCCTCGTGCTCCTTGTTGCTGCTCCCAGATCTGCACTGCAGAACGAGGAGGCACAGAGATGAGTGTGGCGTTGTAGATAAACGGCTGGTTTGGGATCAGGGCGACCAGACAGCAGCTCCCCAAAGTGCCTTCAGAAGTAGTTTTCCGACAGCTGCTGATGCGGATAGTGCTCCGACGGAATGGCCTAGTAAGATCTCCGGCTGGCTGCGAAACAGGTTTCTGGGACAAGATCCCACATAAGAGGAAGAAAGACATGAAGGAAAAGAGGGACGGACAGTAGCGAGGGAGGGAAGAAGCCCACTGAAAGAAGACAGCGGGTGAACGAGTGTGAGAAGAGAGGGAATCTAAGAGGGGAGAAATGAGTGTTATCGAACAATAGAGAAATGGAAAGAGGCGGACTAAGAAGAGAAAAAGAAAATTGAAAAGTGGCGACACTCAGCAGGAACACAATACATAAGCGGGTGTGTGTTTGTGTGTGTGTGCGCGCGTGTCCTCCTCGATGTTGATGCATGCTAATGAAAAGCAGCTAAGGGGCCTGATGAGGCTTTGCTGTGCCAGGCCAGTGCAGAGGAGGGAACCCGAGCGTCCCCGGAGTATGACTGAGACACGCAAACACAGGCAGACACATCACACAATCACAATCACACAGAAAAAAAGGGAGGAGATGAGGAAGAGTCATGGAGAGATCTAACCTATTTTCATTAAAGAGTTTTGGCTGCTCTCTGGGCCCAGGGCCTCAATTATATAAAAATAAAATGTTCTCTGACTTTCTCCCTGATCCTGTCATACGATAATTTCAAAGAGTATGCTAGAGAAAACAAATTAAAATTACATGTAGCGTGCTGCTGCTGCTTACATGGAGAATGAAGATATTAATAGGCAATATCACAGACACCCGCTGATTTTGGCATAAACATCAATTTTTTACGACATCCTTGGGTTTGATGGAGGCATGCAGGGGTATGTGTGTTTGTGTGTGCGCGCGTATGTGTGTGGTGTCATTCGAGTCCACATTGTAGGTCAGCCCAAACGGTGCCTTGTTAATGAGATGAGGTCAAAGGGCATGGCTGACCATAATGGGCCGATCATGACTCTACACACACACACACACACACACACACACACACACACAGTCTTCAGTATGCCTTAAAGTGTCTTCATATTTATTGTTCATTTTTAGTGTTTTGCCCTATGCATTGCTTTCCCTCATTTGATCCTCTCTCTCTCTCTCTCTCTCGCTCACTCATCCTCTCGCTCACTCATCCTCTCGCTCTGCCTCCCTCTCTCCCTCTAGGGCACTATTCTGTGTTGCCTCTATGAGAGGCTGCTATTTAAAACACTTAGAAGTGATTTAGTGCCCACGGAGGCTATTCCATTAGCTGCTCTATGTATTTATCATGGCTCTCCCACTCAGTAGATTGCTAACTCTACAATTTTCTTGCCTTCCTCCTTCTTCCATTTTCTCTCTCTCTCTCTCGCTCTCGCTCTCTCTCGCTCTCTCTCTCTCTCTCTCTCTCTCTCTCTCTCTCTCAATTCAATTCAATTCATATTAAAGCGTATGTGTGTTTCTAAAAAAAAAAGAAGAAATATTAAAAATTAAAATAAATAAATAAAACAGTACAGTAGTGTGTGTAAAAAAAAAAAAAAAATAGACAAAACAGTAAGCGTGTGTGTGTTTGTATGTGTGTGTTAAAAAATAAATAAATAAAAATAAATAAACAGTAAGCGTGTGTGTGTGTTTAAATAAATAAAAATAAATAAACAGTAAGCGCGTGTGTGCGTGTGTGTGTGTGTGTGTGTGTGTGTTAAAAAATAAAAATATATAAAAAAATTAAATATAATAAATCTCTCTCTCACACACTCTCATTTCACACCTCTCCCAATTTCTTTTCTCTATTCTCCTGTCTTAAAACTTTATTAATGACTCTTGCATATCTTATTTTATATAAGATTTGTGATTAATTAATGATTTTTGAGCCGTTAGCACAAGTGACATGAACCTAAAAGAAGTTCTCCAAAATGCCTCAAACACCTGTTAGTGCTGCATTTCCTGTGCTACTAGTTTGGAAAATTGTGCTTTTAAAAAAAAAATCTCTGAGTTTGATAATTCTCCTATTAACATAAACTGTATGGTTCACTGCTAATTTACCATTAAGTGGTTTGTTCTTTAATTAAAATGCTGATAACTTCACGGTCCTCTCCCAACAGGACGGTCGGTTAAGCGTAAATGACCAGCTGGTCGCAGTAAACGGTGAGTCGCTGCTCGGACGCTCCAACCACGCTGCCATGGAGACGCTGAGGCGCTCCATGTCGTCGGAAGGAAACGCCAGAGGCACCATCCAGCTCGTAGTGCTGCGACCACCCAGACAGGTACAGAAGATATAATTTGAATCTCTTTATTCTCAAACATTTCTGGGATATCATGGAATTTTGAGAGGTGTATTCAATGCAGTTTTATGTTTTATGGCTGTATTTTAAACATTTGTCACTTTCTGTTAGATTATTTTAACCTAGCTGGGTAGGAAATCAGAAAAACAACATTAACAGAAGAGAATGACATTTTGAGGTCATGGACATGTTCGAGCTTCATTTTGGAAAGTCTTGGAAAAGGCAGGAAGGTTTACATCAGTGGGATGGCAGGAACCATGGCAGCTATATCAGTTGAAAGAAAATAAATAATTCTATCTTGTTGATATTATCATAATGCAGTTTTAAAACCTAATATTCAGTGTACAGCATAGTGTTGTCTTAATTTAGAGAGAAGTCTCATACTTGTGTTAAATGTTTTTTTGTCAATAAATCCCAAACCTGTATGTTGTTGTTACATTTCTTATAACCACAGACTTTACGCCTGTTATTTACTTCAAGTCCTTGCTTTTGAAGCTTTAGTGGATATGGGGCAACATGTTAAAATGTTTGGTTATATGAAACATTTAGGAATGCACATGCATTATGAAATCCTCTGCACAGCCTGATGTGTTTAAAGATTATTCATAAGTAGCTACCAGAGTTTTGACAGCAAAATCAATGACATGTATCATCCACATTAGGATAATTTCTCTCCCCAGTTATCATTTGAGGCTCACAGTAAAGCTGTACTACTGTACACACTGTGTGGCTGACCTACATGCATGTCGGCGATATTAAATCACGTTGAAGCACTCCATCATCTCTTTACAAACCTGATTTTACTGATTTTGTTTGCGATATGGATTGTGCTCTTTTTTTTCTATTCCCAGTATTCAGTTATTGTAGTGAAGATTGGCAGTGCAGTTTCTGCCTAAATGTAAACACAGTTGGATAAAAATAATGAAACCATCACAATAAAGGCTCCCTTTGTGACAGTGACTGTCTGTATGATTTGAATGTTAAGTTTATACCTTTTGCAAAATCTATATTCTATGTCAGTTTTCTTGCAGAAAAATGGATGAGTAGGCGATTTAAGATTAAGTTGAAACTTTATCAGAGAGAAACTGTTCCTTTCATATGTCATGTGGCTGTCTGACACAACAATGGCTGCTGTAAAGGATGAAACAACTGAAAGGTCTTAGTCACTGTATCCACTCGTTAATATCCAAGACAGTTTTTTTAGTTTTCCTCCATATTCTTTTTTTCTATAGAGTGGCAGTGCCAACCCTGCACCAAGCACACCTTCAGATGTGTCCACTACCCATCAACCCAACACCCAAACGGGCTCCAGCAATCAGGTACGAGCGGGTGACGCCTTCCACCACCAACAGCCACCTCCGCCTCGCGACTCCTCCTCACTCCTTCCCACTCTGAGGAGGCGAGTGTCAGAGCCACTGCCTCATAGCCACAGGCAGCGTTACACACAGAGGCCAGGGGAGACGTACACCAGATACACCTATGGTTTTAACCAAAAGGATAGGTGTAGTGGTTACACATTTGTCTTCACACAAGGGGATATTGAGTACAGTGATGATGAAGAGGGGTACACACAAAATGATGTGTACAGACCGGCTTTGAGGTACGAGTTTGGGTTTGTCCCTCACAGCCAGACGCTAAGCAGCTTCAGCAGATCCACGGAGGGAAACTTAAACAAGGGAAGGTTGGATTATGGATACACACATGGACACACACGCAGTCGAACACTGGCAGACATGCAGGGCCGCACCACAGCCGATAACACACACTGTCACACGCCTAGTGACGCTCAGGGAAACACAGATGGCCGCAAGTCCAGGCACTCACGCAGCCGCACACACGACGGCGTCCACAGACAAGATGGCTCTCAGGGTAACAGTTACACTGAAAATATCAGAGCAATGGCAGGCCAGATGTACGGAGACCCACCCTCACACAGCAGGATACCCACCCATTGTCCAAACAGAAACACACACAGATCTGCAGACAGATACCTAGACGCACACTCTCACGACGCACACACTCACAACTACGCACACAACCGGGTTCTCACCAGACACCACCACCTCCAGTTATCTGGTGGACTCTGACTCGGTCTGTCTGTCTGTCTGTCTCTGTCTGTGCATGTCTGACAGTCTTTATGCAGGCTACTTTGCAAAAAGGGTACAAGTGCCGTTTTCGCTGCAAATTAAGAACATTGTTGCGCTCTTGCTGGCGGGTCAAAGAGCACATTTGTAACATAACATTAAAAAAATGGGAAAGACTCAGGTGTGTACAGAAACTCTTACTGATATGAATATCTTAGAATGCATACATTTAAAAATTTAAATCCATCCCTGTAAGATTATGAATGACTCCTATGATGTTATCTTTTGAATTAAGTTATGCAGAAAATGGCACTTTTCCTCTTTTGCACCAAATCCATGGTGTGTAAATTTTTAGTGATCGATTGCGTGGAAGCAAATTAATCTTGCTGAAAGCTTTTCCCTTTGCCAACACCACAAACTGTCACAGCATTAACTTTTAGCTCTCTCTTTTTAAAAAATATTACCCATGAACTCAGCGAAATACTAAATGCTTCACTGTCAGCCTCCCTTCTGTCACATTGGTTTTAACTCACTAAAATTAGCTGTAACTCTGATTATGTTTTTATCGTTTCTCTTCAAACCACTGCAGACTGTAAAGGCTTAATGTGTTCTTTCCTGTTTTGTCTATATATGTAAAGTTTTATATTAACTTTTCCTTTTTAATTTCCATATTTTTAAGGGAATGCTTGCTTTTCTGTCTCACCTGCCTGATTCTCCTTTGTTAAATAAAGCTATTCTGAATCCTCCTGCATGCCTGTCTGTTTGTTTCTCTGTTGGGTTTTCAGCGGCTGCCTTCTCCTCTGCTCCTCATCCCAGTTTATTAAATGACATTTGGGTCCCTGCTCCCTCTCTTTGGGCCTCCGAGTCTCTTTTCTTTTCTGAATTTTCTTTATCCTTTGTTAGACACTACAAGCAGAAACCAGGACATATTTCATAAGAGTTAAACAACAGAATCTTTCCACTAGGCAAACATAAAGACACATCACGATTAATTTGTTGAACCTAAACATACCAAAATGTAATTGTCACACCAAGCGTAATACACTCACAACCATATAGGGTATAATGAACATATTTCAGGAGTACAATCTGAATTCATGAATACTCCATGTAGCTGTGAACACACTGCTTTTTAGATGTGATAAATGTGTTATAAATCAGACTGCATGGAATGTGTGAACCTTTGCTTATTTTTACCTCTTTCTCTTTTGTGCGTTGAAGTGCTGTTTTAAAAAAAAAAGCAGTTTGAGTGCAAGTCCCTGCAGTGTCCTCACTGCAGTTACTTTATTCCCTGGTGGTAAACGTGTGAGCAACATTAGAATCAACCACAAAGTCACACAAGACATTGTGTTCAACTAATGCTTAAAAAAGCAGCACAAGTTCCTCGATGGAACAGACTGATGAAGATATCAAGCATGACAGATGGTGAAAAATATCTGCTTCTTAGTTAAGTATGTCTATTCAGCTCCATGTTGAACCGTGACTGATTATTTCAAAACCTTATAAAGATGTTTCACAGTTAAAGCAGATGCTTAGTGATTGCCACATTGACTGCCACTGACCTGCCCATTGTGGCATTTACATCTCATCTACGCCATACTCCTATCAGTGTGCGTGCATTTTAGTCATCCAACCCTGCGGATAAATGCTATCAAACCCAGTTCAAAGTTCAGTATATATCTGCATAGTCTTTCTCCTGTCATCACTTAACAGCCAGTCTGGTGACACCGTGAGACGGCGTGATAACATATATGCTCCCTAAAGCAAGCGTCCTTTCTTTCTATCACTGTCTCTGTCTGGATCTTGCTTTCCATTAGGAGATCCTTAATGTCAATAATTTTCCATGCAAGTATGGGGCAAGATGTAGGGCTAGGGCAGTGGTTGGCAATAGGTGGCCCGCGGCTCTGGCCAGATTGCTTTGATTGCAGAAAAATAAATAAATTGATAACGGCTGGTGCTGAAATGGATCTCATGACAGCAACAGTTTCTCACATAACCACTTCCTCTTAAGTGATTGTGCCTCTAAAATAAAAGCGCAAGAATGTATTTTGCAGCAATGCTTCATGTCGAGTTTATTAAGAGCTTTTACTTTGAAGAGTTCTGAAGGAAATTCAAGAGAGTGTCTGGCCTGCTTGACACACCTCTGAAAAAGCCGTCAGTAAACGTGTGAGTGGATGACCCAGAATATTCTCAGGGAAATGAAAATATCAACTGCACTGCCAAAAGTGTCCATAGGTTTATGAATGCGGATCAAACGCCGCAACGCACATACACTGCAGCACATGCTTTATGTGAGCCTGTGTAAAAGTGTCCTTTTATTCAATTTGTCTAACAAGGGAGAAAAAAATATCCGCAATAAGATGGAATCGATCTCACAACCTACCCTTTGGGCATCCCGCACTGCACCGACTGAGCTAAACGAGCACATGATTTCATACGGTTTATTCTGGCCTGCCATAGAACGGCTTGGACCTCTGCTCTAGGGAGAGGAATGGCAGTAACGGTTAACCACGGTGGTCCAGACTGAAACTTGGATTAATTGTAATGAATGTGGCACAGACATTCATGGTCCTATTATACGGTCAAAATGCTGATGTATCCAACACTTTGGTTTGTGACCAAAGACCTGCAAAACGGACATTCCCATCAGCCTCATTTGTACTGTGTTTAGTGCTAATTAGCAAATGTTAGCATGCTAACACACTAAACTGATAGCAGACATGGTAAGCATTATACACGCTAACATCAGTATGATAGCATTGTCATTGTGGGCATGTTAACATGCTGACTCTTTTCACAGACAGGAAGCCTTTTCATTTGCTCCATGTGATGCTTTATTTTTGGAAAACGTTTTGTCTTTCTCCCTTATTTTCTCACTCTTGATCATACTGGAAGATTCTTTACTGCCACAATAACATCTCTAATGAAACATAATTGGAACGCTCAACCGAAATTATTAATTCTTTTATCACTCAGTCCTTTAGTAGAAAGATAAACAGTAAAACAATAGGACACTCATGCACACTCAAACTAACTAAAGATGGAAATAATACTAGAAATGGAAATAAAATGTTTCTTTTGCTGTCCATCCCGAGCCAAGTATTTATGTGGGTGGGGTGGGTGACACAGTAGGGTGAGGCAGGGCTAAGCCTCTCAGAAGCCTATTGTATGCAGCTGTAGGTTGGGGCTACCCTCCTCCTGTTTAGTTATTGTTGTGGGATTAAGATATCTGACTGCCTGTCTGCTAGGCTGCTTTTATAGCCTGGGGCGAATCGTCAGGTTGTGAAGACTGAGGGATGCATGGATGGATGGAAGGATGGATATATGGATGAATGGAGGGCTATGATGTGATTTATATGTCACTGGCACATGAAGAAGAGCTGTCAGAACTTTGTGTGCAAATGCATACGATACACACATGAGCTCAAAGTGATTGACGGCTATGATGTGGTGACATTAACATGTATGGTATGTACTAATAATACCTCAGGGACTCCATGACATTGTGAATACATCCCACCCAATGCTTTGAGATGACACAGATATTGGAACAGCTTTCTTCTTTCTTCATTATTGTTCAGTGTGTCTAAGAATTATTTTTTGTAATGCTTAAATAAGTGTAGGGCGTATTTGTGTCAGTTTTTACTTGGTGTGTGTACGTGTGAGAGACAGCTATAGCTCCCATCTCTTTGACCAGTAAAGGCTTTTTTCATCCTCCACGAACACCAACACTTCGAGTCCCTATCTCCATCTGTGGTGTGTGGGTCCTTTGTAGTGCTGAATGGCTGTTCAATAACATGTCTGTCAGTGTTCTCACTAATTACTATGTTTCCAATTGTGCACATAAAGAGAATCACCCTTTTATATATTGTTGAAACCAGTTTTCAGAAGGACTGACATAGGCACATCAGTATATATTTATCTTTTCTTGTAATCATTTTGTTCTTGAAATGCGCATTCCACAATATATTTTCCTCTATTTTGACAAGATTATATTTAATATTTTAACATTCCTCCATTAAAGTTAATAAACAAAATAATATTTAGGTACAGTACTGAATGTGGAAAGGGCTGACTTGTGACCTTGTTGCTCCTGTAAGAGCATTCTCCTAGTGAACGTCTAGCTGCCATTAAACAAAGGGAACTTTTTTGTGGGAACGGATGACAAATTTCTTACTCAATTATGATCAACTTGACTTTTTTGTGATATTTTATTCATCACCCATACTTCACAT